TGCAGGGTACGTTAACTCGGAAAATTAATTAAAGAATCTATAAAATCTGCAATTCTATTTAAAATTGCAGTAAAATTACACATGAGGGTTTTAAAATTCAGGGCAAGTTTTAGCTATGGTCTAAAAAATTTGTGATTCCGTTACAAAAACGTTAAGGTACGTTTATTGATAGAAATTATGTCTTAAATTGCTTGGGGTACAAAATAGTGGCATATAACCCCAATAGTATTTCTGCGCAACGACATATCCGAACCCATATTAAAATTAAAAGCTATAAATGCAGGAAACTTTGGAAATTTATATTTGGCTAAATTTTGATTGAAGATTCAATTTGCGCTAACATTCAGGTTTCACACGTAATTGGACCAGAAATTGGTACAGGCCAACAAAAGTCTTTAGGCAAGAGACAAAGGGTGCGCCAGCCACGATAATATTGTAAGTTTCTGCCCACCAACACCAGCGTTCGAGAGCGACCGCCTTCCGCTTCTCATCCCAGTGGCTGCCGCAGTCGTCGTGTCAGCACACATGTTGTTGCGTCGCTGCCAGCGCTCATTTGAGCTGAGGTGAGACACTAAATTCAATTTGTTTCCGTTGATGGAACATACAGAGCAGAGCTGGACGCAGGGAGCAGAGCTGGACACAGGGAGCAGAGCTGGACACAGGGAGCAGAGCTGGACACAGGAAGCAGAGCTGGACACAGGGAGCAGAGCTAGCACAAGGAGCAGAGCTGGACACAGGGACCAGAGCTGGACACAGGGAGCAGAGCTGGACACAGGGAGCAGAGATGGACACAGGGAGTAGAGCTGGACACAGGGAGCAGAGCTAGCACAAGGAGCAGAGCTGAACACAGGGACCAGACCTGGACACAGGGAGCAGAGCTGGACACAGGGAGCAGAGCTGGACACAGGGAGCAGAGCTGGACACAGAGAGCAGAGCTGGACACAGGAAGCAGAGAACAGGGAGCAGAGCTGGACATAGCAGCAGAGCTGGATGACGTCACTCCTAAAGCGAAGCATCGTACGTTGGACGGCGATGCAGACGTCAAAAACGCTATTCCACTGTGGCGCTCGGTTAATACTTGTGCGGGCGAAGTAATTCATTAGCTAACAACCATTATCCGAGAGAACCTCCGTTTATTCCATTAGTTCTGCTACGCGTGTCGGATCTGCTTTCTAGAAGACGACTGCGTTCGCCATAGACAACTGATCTCGTCGTACATTTACACGTCTTTCTAACGTCGGCGACAGTGTTCCCGGTTGCCGCTGGCAGAACTTGGAACAGTCTGTCGGCTTCCGTAACTTCGGCTCCTTCGTTGCAGGTGTTTCGTCGACGCCTAAAGATGGAACTATTTCAAAGAGCTTATGAATCGAGCGCTCAGACATACATATTTATCCGTTCTCATCCTTTCTCGTGTTTATTTTTCGCTTGCTATAAAAGTTATGCGTAAAGTGCCCTCGCAGTTCTTTTGAACCAGATGCCAAGATAACTGCTTCGTAGAATAATAATAATAATAGTAATGCGTAATTTAGCTCAGAAATTTTCTTAAAACAATTGAACGCATTTAACAAAAGTGCATCCAATTCTCCATAATTCAGTTCATACAGATACCAGAAGAAGCTAGCTGCGACTTTGATGCGAGGGAACATATTTGGCCGTACAGCGTCTCGCGAGGCCCACTTTGTAAGCCAAGGCCCCATGAGGTTGCCGACGCTGAATAATGGAAGTGTCAATGGGCCCTCGTGGTCCCATTCGTCCAACGGGACGACCAGTGCAGCGAATGAATGTTTTCTAGTGAATGTTTTTTTTTTATTTCAGGGCTGCTACACTTACAATGAAGTTTAAACAGGAAACAAGTTCGTTTTCAAATAAATCAGGTACACTGAAGAGAATGCTGTTTCGGATTTTTATTGGATTTTGTGTTGTTGGATGATATGCAAATGATACCATTAATTTTGTAGACTTGTAATCTTTATGTGCGGTTATCATTTTTTAAATGCGTATGATTCAGGTACAATTCTTCGCTTACAAAGAAAACGAAACTTTTTAAGGCATTTGATGTAGTTCAAAATCCTTTATAAACACAGGAGACTAAAAATTATGCGCTATCATTCACGAAGGGAACATTGCGCTCGTCTCAAGAACAGGCCTCACTCGAAGTGTCCTTGCATTCAAATGTAAATGTTGCGCATAAACTAGCAAATATGCAGAGCGCTCTGTACCCGACTCCCTTCAACAGATTTATCACAGCACTGCCAGAATAACAAACCCATTACTGTCCAGCTCGAGACTTCAAATTTTAACTCAATCGTTAGGCTTTTCAATTGGGACTCTATAATGAGACCACTTTTTTACCCTCGTTCAGTCAATAACAATTGCTTTTCTCAAAAAGAGACATTGTTTAAACTTCGTCGATGAAACAGCGGAAGTTGTTAGACGGAATTCCAGGAAGCTTTTCAGAGAATTATTTGTTTGGAGTCGTCAATGCAGGCAAGCCACAGAATGAAGAACAGGTCTTCGTGACTATGTCTGACCTCTGAGGTATGTACGACTGAAACTCCCTTCTTCGTTTCTGTAATGGCTTCCGATTAATGTGCATGGAAATTTATCCAAGGGTGCATACTAAATTCCTGCGTAAAGGAACTACAAAGTTTTATTTATTGCGGAGAGTCAAATATCAGGACTGCCACGCTCGGTTAAAGTAAAGTTTTTTGGGTCAGGCTCCATCTTCCTATCAAATTTATGGAGTAAATTTTTATTTTTATTTATCTTTTATTTTATTAAATTGATTTTTACTCTCGTTCCGTATATAACTACTGTGAAAATTTATATTTTGGAATGTCCAGCTGTGAAGTATAATTTGAGTAATATTACAAATAAAATTACTTCACCAGGGACAGCTCAATTGAAGAAACTCTCCAACTACCGGTACTGCTTGCTCATAAGTAAATATAGCTATGTTCATGAAACTGAAAAACAATTAGACACAAAATGGACCTCACATGATCTTGCATCAAATAAATAGTTTTCTTCTTATTTTCATCAAAAGCAATGTAGTTTTGAACAACCGTAGATCTCAGCTGGTTTATCAACGGCCGAACACGAAGCATACGACAGCCAAGCTATTTGAGGAGCAGAGGAGCCAAGACCGCATCTGAAATTATAATGCTGCACCATGTGATTTATGAAGCGAAAACATGTGTTATATTACCATGAATTTATTAGAGGAAAAAACGCCGGGCGGCTGCATCAACGCGAGAGGCCTGCTTGCTCGCGAGTACGAAACAGGTCACTCGAAAAAATTTCTGTGCATTTAAAAGCAAATAGAAAGAATGGAGATGAGTGAAAGGGAGGAAATAATAATCAGGAATGGGAATAGATTGAGATATATATAATATAAAAAATAATTTAATATAAATATATCGAAAAATAGATTTTGACTTAATTGCACAATGGCTGACAATGAAATTTATTTGCCGCGAAATGCTTTTTATTATCTCCTATGTCTACTTGATAAGGCAGCAGTTGTGTTGTACACACCAAACAAGCCCTTGATAAGGCAGCAGTTGTGTTGTACACACGAGGCCGTCAGAAGTGACGCGAAGCAGAAGCAGAATCACGGACCCTGGGCGCCAGTGAATGGAAGCTGCGGGGCTTTCGCTGGCCCATATGTTCAGTCTTTGTCGCGTCCCCAGTTACGCTGTTGGCTTCCATATTGGCTAAACCTTGAGGTTCCTTCCTCATCATATATTTATTGCTTTATTATCGGCAATCTGATGCTGGTTTGTTCCACTACACTATCTAGTCATCGATCTCTTCCTGGAAATGAATAAATCTATCAATACAGTGAATTGCGATGATTGTGCGCTTCCTAAGTATTATTCTGAAGGATTTTAAGTAAAAAAATTAGAATCGAATGGTGAAGCCAGACAAATGTTAGTGCAACGCTTCATTGCACATTAGATTAAATATTTAAAATAAATCGCCAAAACTTAACCCAAATGTTTGTCAAAGTAAACAACGTATCAATGAATCCTTACTTTGGGCCCAGTTTCGGAAGACAGATATAATAGACAGATATAATAGTTATTTTTAATTTACGACTGTAAATTTGACAGTTATTGTTTTTGAAAATATGCTTTTGTGCAAAAAAAAATATATTTTATCGTGAAACTAAAGATTTTTGCACTAAGTTTACCCGACTTGTGTAGGGAGGGCGGGAGGGAGAGAGGGGAGCACATGGATGCACATTGTCCCAAAGGGAGGAGGGTTGGAGTGCAGACCATATGGAAGAGAAGACCATAAGGACGCACAGGTGGTTAAGGGGTAGCCTAATGTAAAGGAGAGTAGGATTAGAGCGCACAATGCCAACAACAGCAACAGGCGATTGTTCTCAGTACGCGCTGTAAAGAAGAGCGTGTTTAGCCTCTTTATGAGGGACGTCACATTTGTGTAAAGATTTGCACTCTGAACAAAGCCTTCATTCAGCCCAGAGATGTCTGTTCGAGTTTCACTTTTAAAAAACACCTTACTCTGCCTCATTCAAATTTACCGATAAATTTTTTATTTCGATCCCATGTTTCTGCTATATTCGAAATATTGATAGTCTAACCAGTAGGCATAAGAAAATTTAGTTTAATTAATATTATAATATATGACCTACATAACTGAGTTGTGATCTGCTAAACTTACTTGAGCTGCTAGCATTTATTGATCTTTCAATGCGACTTGTTTGAACGTATGTTAAGGGCGTGGCACAAACTGTGTTTTGGGGCCGTGATTACAACGCTGTTTTGCCCTCATTCTCTTCAATGTCCCTAACAAAATTTAGAGTCGCCCCAGCTTCTGGTAGTCTAAAACAGAAGCTGCCGCGACTGTTAATTTTCACTGGGGGTGATAATCTTGGTTCAGATCCCAGGGAGATGTCGTTAACAAATATTTTTTTTTCATTGCAACTGTAAATCAGGAGACTTCGTTCGAGGATGCGAAAAATGAAATAAATTGCTGAAGGTTTATTTATTACAAGTGTCGTTGCGTAGCCCGCAGTACTATTGCACCTCTTTGTATTTCTCTATATTAGGGTAACAATTGAACGAAACTATTAACTTACAATTGATTCAAAACTAAACAAAAAAGGAACGGAACATAAATTATTGCAATCGTATTCTAACTTAATCTTTTCTTTTTGCATTTTAACAACGCTTTAAGGACGCGAAAATTTTATCCATGAACTAAAAATTAATTTTTTTTAAATAAGATGCAAAACTCATCCAAAAGCTGATTGCTTTATGACGCAGATGACTCTCATTTGCTTGCTTGGCTATACATTCGTCCTGGTGAAATATGTATCAGGAGTAATAATTTATTATGAAAAATATTGCTCAGCTATCAGTAAAACTAATTTGCACTAATCATGGGAACATACCAGGTTACGCAAGCATCCTGTTGAAGGATCAAACAGAGAAAGGGCGGGGATTTATTTCGATGCATCCCACTAATTGCTGAGGTTCAATAAAGATAAAATTTTAATTTCGTTCTGGGGCACAATACCAACTTCTTGAAACTCAACTAATGTAATGTAATAAGCAAATAAAACCAGAAATCCTGAGAGTTCTTTGGAATTATGGCTTAAATTGACAGTTATAATATCAGTGAGTACTTGTCTCGAAGGGAAATTACGTCATTAATCGAAGAGTTGTAATATTTTTATGTGATAGTCGTTTGGCTGTTTGCTTCCTGAAAACTTAAAATAAAACAACTTTGATTATGTACATAGATCAACAATTAACAAATGATTCCAAAAATCACAACAAATTTTGTTGATGTACATGCTTGTATACGCTATGAAACGGGTACGTTTAATTACAGCTATTTACACAGAAATCATTTCCACGAACTAAGTCGAATGCATCACTTAGCGTCCTCGTCGTGTCTGTCTTGATGGGCGGTCATATGACGCGTTAAGTGATGTCTTTCTCTAAAAGATTCCCCGCAAATAGCGCACTTGAGTCGATCATTCCTTCGCTTTTTGTAAGGATCTTCTTCCCTTTTATGTTGCGATCGCATATGGTAAACTAAATCCGACGTCATCCTGAAGGACAGGTTACATTTTGCGCATACGTTCTGCGAGGCCAAACTTAGCGTCGATAAGGCATTAGGAATCATTGCAGCCACAGGATTCTGAGCAATAAAGGGAACAGGGTTCATTTTAGGAGCAGCTGGTGCGGATGGGACCGTCGCTGGGTATCCTAGTGACCCAAATGGCATTTTGTACGGGTCGGCGCTGTACATTGACGATCGTAATCGCGACAGCGCCTCCGCAGGGGACATTTGGTTCTCCAGAGACGATTTGTTCGTGATGGAATTATGATGGGACTTGAGATATTCTTCTACTATATTACTATTAATTCGTTCAGGAGGTAGTAACGGTGATAAGGATGGATGAAAAATTCCCGATGATGCCAGAAGTGGAGCGAGAGATTTATTACCACTCAAAAAAGACGTGACAGCGTTAAGAGATATCGCTGGATTAGCCCACGGGTTGGAAGGTAGCGCAGGATTTTCCAGAGTAAGTTTCGACGTATAACATTCTGAAGTGCGAGACACTTTAGTGAAGGCGCTCGATGGAAGTGTGTCAGAGTCAGACGGTTGCGGGACGTCGTGGGTGCGTGTAACTTTGGAAGGTGTGGGCGCAGTAATACCAAGACGTTGCTGGGAGGTCTGAGGCTCGTCTGGAGAGGAACTAGGTTGATACGCGGAGGCATTCGAAGAAGGGGATACTGGCGTGTGTATTTGCGGTGATGTGGTCGGCGATCGTTGGGGAGAATTTGGAAGAAGTGGTTGATCGTCACGAGCCCCGGTGAGGAACGCGACGTCAAACGATCGTTTAGTTGGGGAGGATCGCGGCAGTGGGGAAGATTCTGCCACTTGCTCCATGATCATCCTCGCTTGTACTCCTCTCAGGGGCTCAGGTGCACCAAACCAGATCTCTGCCTAGAACTCTGCAACGAAAAAAAAAATATATATACAACTTAAAATTACAGATAATTACAATCAATCCAGGAGCAGGAGAAATTTCAATCGGGAATTTCTCTAAACCAATTAGTGACTTATAATTCAAGTTCATAAAGGTAGATATATCTTTGTTGGACTCTTTATTTTTATCTTTATTGGATCTTTATTGCCTGGTTATCCGCTAAGTTGTTGACTATGAAATTAGTTAGATTTTCATGAAAAGTTTCCAGTTATATCAATTTTAAATTACGAATAATGGTGGATGTGAATAATGGAAATGTGAAATTACAATGACGGGGCTAGAACGCAAGGCATGGGAGCCAAATTAAACTTATTTTTGCTATTTGCGGACACATGAAATGAATGATCGATTAAGAATGCATACCACTGTCGGAAATACCATGATGGTTGACATTCACGTGAAAATATTCGTGCAATCAATGTCGTCTTCATATAACCTCGAAATGAAAATAATTAACATGGAATTTTACAGCAATGGTGGGTTATGTTGCCTTTAATTTATATTTTATCGCGTATTTATTTAGTCCATTTTGAATACAACTGAATTTTTATTTTTAAATTAGCTAAAAAATTTAGAATTCAATAATTACGAGAAAATCAACAATTTCCTCAAAAAAGCAAGCTACTTACTGAAAAGTTAATTCTGTACATCATAAATGATAAAAGTTGAAGAGAATACCGTTGTATACTGCGTTCCAGAATAATGATTGCATTAAACGTCAACATCTCGATCAAGCAACGTCCTCAGATTTAGCGAATCATTGATTATTGTTCAACTGGTTTGCGAAATTATGTTGATACAAGCTTTCTTCGAAGTTCTTTGTTGATTAATGCATATTTGCCCTTGTAAGTAAAACTTCATTATACATTCCTTTTTTTTAGAGAGCTGAGTACGGTTGATTTCCAAGTATTTATATGATATTTCTAGTATTACTTGACGCTTACGTGGAAATTGCATACTGTTGTGGATATGGTAATTATTTAAGGTATCATAAATAACACACAATATTCTTTTCACCAGAAATACTTGGCAACAAATTGAATGATTTAAATACTATTCATAAATTTTGATGGCTTTCAATTTTTCATACGATGCATTCTTCCTTCTGAAATAAAAGCTTGATATTTTTTTCAGTGATTTTTAATTGCTATTTTGATTAATAGAGACCCAATCATAATTTTTTCACAATTATCAAATATTTTTCGTGAACGATGAATTGCCGATACCACTTGTCCATCGAACGAGTGTAGCGAGAAATTCAATGAAAAGAATTGCAACGTTGAGCCAGATAATAATTCAGTTGGAAAATTTGCTTAAAAGTGAAAATTAGCTTGTGTCAGCGCTTTGAATATTAATCAGATTTAAATGCTATGTTTAGTTATAAGTATAATTTAACAACCATAAGATCTGCCTATCTCTGCCTTGACACTCAGGCAGAGAAGTAAAGAACATTTACGCTGCTTGTTTAATTGAATATTCACTGTTAATTTACACTATAAAATTCTTGCATTAGGTAAAAAGAAGAATTTATGTCATATTAAAATTTAGAATAGCTATTAATTTTAGTAGTCCCAAGCGATGAAAGTACTAACTAGCTTTGTAAATTCGTTGGCAATCGTTAATTCTAGTTAAGGGCCTGGATTTCCAGACTAAAGATGCAAAATAATTGTGAATCTCCAAATTTGAACAAATTTTTCCGATATATTTTGATTTCAAAATAAAAGGGGAATTAAATGAGGATCACATGACATCTTTTTACATAAGCACGTGATTTGAGTGACCACTGGTTGTACGTTTAACAAATCTAATCAGCTGTTTCTGGCCAGCAATGATTGCTCAAGGTTCTTTTCCCCACCATCTGTCGCTCACAGACACGCAAGATAATAAATTACGACCGTATCCGTAGCATATATCTTTCAAGTTTGGACTACATGGCAGTAATAATAATCATGATAACTGGCCTACTAATGCACATTTTGCGCCTCTCACCTGGAAAGCTATCGTGGTCCGTGCTCGGAATATCCTCTGACGCTTGCGACAAAAAAAATCGTTCACGACAAAAGCCGAGTAGCTGGAACAAGCTGCTCACCACGACCCTGAACAAGATTCCCCTCAGAACTGAGAGGGCGAGAGACAGAGACGTGCTTATATAGGGCGCAGGAGGCGCGACGCAGAAGGCGGAGCTTGTATTGATTGATTATGTTAATGGGACCGACGAGGGAGCGAGAGACAGAGGGAGATTGACAAGAGATTGAGCTGAGTTGGAGTGAGTGGCGGCAGCAGTTGGAGCAGGTATTGTCCCCACTCACTGACTTTGAGTGAGTGGCGGCAGCAGTTGGAGCAGGTATTGTCTCCACTCATTGACTTTGGGTGAGTGGCGGCAGCAGTTGGAGCAGGTATTGTCTCCACTCACTGACTTTGAGTGAGTGGCGGCAGCAGTTGGAGCAGGTATTGTCTCCACTCACTGACTTTGGGTGAGTGGCGGCAGCAGTTGGAGCAGGTTTTGTCTCCACTCACTGACTTTGGGTGAGTGGCGGCAGCAGTTGGAGCAGGTATTGTCTCCACCCACCTACAATGGTGTAATCGCCCCGAGCAAATCGACTGAATTCGACGATATATTGTTACAATTTTACTTCCTAACACAAAAAATTCCGACATACGTTCTTTGCAGCAAGTTCCCTGCTACCACCGAGCTAAGTTACCCTCTGAATCTTCATTGATTTCGAGATGTGTTCGACATCCTATTTACTTTGCGCAGAATGAAAATAGCAAATATTGTTATTTGAAATGAATAGACAACTCGGTATGTCTACTCTATGTTCATGAATACAGCCGTGATAATTTTTTAATGAGAGATTAATAATATGTTCAGATGTGGAATGATCAGATGTGATTAATAATATGATTAGATGTGAACCGATATTGTTGCGCCTAGACCCCAAACGACTGTAGCACTTCGTTCCAAACTATAGTGCCGTGATTTACCAGTCAATTAATTATGCTGCGGCAAACTAAATGCATCACGAGATTGAGTTAAGGATCGGGCTCTCTCAATGACTAATTATATTAAACTTTAGGAACGCTAAAAAATTGCGCTCCGAGCAATAAAACCACTCATCTTCCCCGAAAACAGTAATTGAATATCGACGTCGTTTGAAGATCTATAGAACTTTGAGCCATTTGCATTTGGCAACGATATCAATTTATTGTATTGCTGCAAAACTATGAGTGAAACAATATAAAGAAATTAGTTCTTTGGGCGGCTGGGTTCTTTATGCAAATATTTGCTGCATAAACCATCGAATTCCTGTACATGCAAGATCACTTCATTCTTTGATGCTCATAATAAGATTCAACTCGCTGTTGAAGCTGGCATGAACAAACAGATATTTATTTTAAGAATACAGATATATTTTATCTTACTGTGGTAATCAAGCAAAAATTATTTAACAAAAGATATTTGGGAGACATAAATTTTCAATAATGTACAATTATGATCACAATTCTGTTTTAAATTATATGTTAATATTGTCATAATACTATTTTAACTTTAAATAATTTGAGAGAATTATTTCAGTTTTATTGTTTGAATTATTGCCAGCGATTCGTTGTCACGCAAATGACCACAGCTCTTTTCCCATAGCTTTTAACACGTTGACTACGATTGCTTCATCTTGTATTATTATTCAATTTTTTGTATTGTTTTCAAACAGGGTTGCCAGACGGTTATTTTTTCCGGACAAATTCCGTGATTTAGTTTTTCTCAATTGCGTTGGCCGGCTAAAATTTATGATAGGGGTACCTCCTAATTAAATTTTAAATACTGCAAAAAGAAAATAAATGGAATTTTTATAGCGGAACCTAGAAATAAACTAGTATATATTGAGTTATCGGCCTTTTTTGCCTTTTTTATTCTCGGATTTGGCCGATTTTAGGCAACCTGAATAAGGTACCACTACACCTCCTGGAGAAATACATTTCGTGGTACGCATATGTACCAATACGTAGTCAACGTGTTAAGATAGAAATTAATTACATATATAGTGCCTAATAGTGATAGAATAAATAAATAAATAAATACAAATAAATAATGGCTTACTTTTTCGAATAGAAACTTTTTGTTTCAAAGGCTAATTAATGTATTAGTAAAGTAGAGCATTAAGTTGTGAACAAGTTTTTACGCAGTGTTGGATTTTTATTGTGTGGACAGTAATTGAATTTGTGCTTCGCCTCCATAATAAGTCTAGAATAGTTACTTATTTTCTATTCGCTATAAGGCCAGCAACAAATTCTCTGAATTTTTTTAAAAGAGTTTTTTGTTGTTTATAGATTGATATTTATGAATAGAATTCTAATTTTCTCAATTTCAGACTCTTAATTAACCATTCACTTCCACTGTCGTGGACATTTCGTCTTCAGATCAATCCACACAATTCTCCCCTAGTTTTTTTAAATAAAATCCCGTTAATTTGTCGCGAACATATCTCATGTATCCACACAAATATTGCCACACTACGAGACTGTTTCAAGTTTTTTCATCAGTATCACCGGTAGCAGCTATAAGAGAACGTTACATTTTACCGCCGCTGTTCTCTGGCTGTCGTGTCTCGCTGGCGATCGTACAGCGCGCATCATTTACGCAGCTCTCATTTTTAATTGGAATTTCAATTGAATATTGGGAACAGAATTGCGGTAGAGCGCGAGGTACGTACGTTTTTAGCTCGCGCTAGGGCCAGACTTCCCTTATAGATATTTTTGCAATGTCAGCTTGTATTACTGCCATAAATTTTTATTATTATAGTGATAATAGTTTGAGATTTTTTATATGAAGATCATAATCTCGTGATATAAATCATTTTCAGAATTTCATCTTCATATGCTGTTTTACATATCCAATTTATACAGAAAAAAAACACGGTAAATATTTTTATCTCATTCAATATTTATCAACCAGTTTTGATTGTAGCTCTTTTTTTCAGTGAAACTTGTTTATTTGCAGACCGTAAATCTTACCCGACGATCATAGATAAAGGTACAGTCGTATATGGAGGTTTCATTTTCATGTTCATGCTGGTGGACAAAAGTCCACACAATACCACGAGATCATCAGCCAATTGTAACCGTTCAGTGAAAGATTTAATTACAGATATGATTGTTTTGTAAATAATTAAATTTTCATTGGCATTGGAAGCTGAATGTTCTAATTCCACTTAAACGGCGGAGTTCGAAATGCACCAGCGGCAATAAAAGTTAGGTAGAACCTACCTGGATAGATTTGTCAAGTGGCTTATCAACTGACTGTAACAATCCTCTTATATAATCGAAGGCGCGAAATTGTGTTATTTCGAACTGTTTTTTTTATGCCGATTGACGTTTTTTTTCTCGGCTAAAGTTCCAAAAGAAAACAACGAAGTATAAGTGATTGACGCAGTTATTTGCTTGAGTGAATGCATCTGGTCAATCTAGTGAACCTTTCCCTACGTCAGCTGCTCGGGTCCAGCCAAGCTACTGCATTATAATGGGCAGTTACGATCCTCAGTGAAATGAGTGTGACTTTGTCTAAATAATGATGAAATTTTTGCCCTTGCGTGTGTCACCCAGATCCCCTTTTGGCTTGGCAGAAGGGCGTATCAGTGTTATACGTCCTCTCTCTGCACGCGCCGTGGGAGAGAAAGTGAGTTAGTATTTGTACGATATGACCCCGGCATTATTTTGAGTGTACCCACTGGTCGTCAGCTGTGCTGACTTAGCCGTGCTGACGGTCACCGCACGCTGACCACTTGTGCTTCCGGACCGTCCGCTTCGATGCGCAAAAACCCGGATCAGCCTTTTTTTGCGGATCCGATCAACGTGTTTCTCATCGTATTATTAATTCCTTATTTTAGTTCGTGCTCCCAGAGCAGGAATTTCCCTTTTATTATTCAGGATTAAATTATGTATATAAACTTCACGATCAAGTGAGTGGAGTATTATGTATTGGTTAAACTTTCTTGTGAAATTATTGGCATTACTTCTAAATGTTAAAGTCGAATGATGAGCAAAGGTGTTTCTAAAGTCATATTTTGCGCTTAGATTATGCTAATATTTTTTGTCTCATAAATCATTATCATTATTCGTCAATTAGTATATATTCTGTTCCTTTAATTTTTTTATTACATGTATATGTATTTATTCCTTTAATTTTTTTATTACATGTATATGTATTTACTCATACATACAGTGCATTTATATGTATTTATTCTTTCGTGATGTTTCCCGTGTATGAGGTTACCTTAAAGTGTAACATTTAATTAGGATATCTTCTCACAATAGTAATGTATGAACTAAAAGTATTTGGATGTTTTAGATATTAACAGAGGAATTCATTAATGAAATTATTTATACGTTGCTTATCATTTTGAGCTCTGGGTAACCATTTTAAGAGTTTTGACTCTGTTATACTAAAAAAAAAGAAAAAAAATTGAATTTGGCATTCAAAAGAATATTTTATAGCTTGAATTCCATGGGCGTTTACTTTAGACATTTCCTAATACAACAAAAAATATTATCAATACCCAGCAGGACGGATTCAAGTACATGTTGTAAAGTATTAACCTTATAACAACAAGGCCTTGATGCTTCAACGGACTTACACACTGAAGCAACCGTACCAGCTCCACGACTGCATGGCCGTGCTCAGCGATCCCACACACATATCAGCATCGCTGCAGTGCATCTCATCCTCGAAATCCTCTTTCTGCGAGCAAGAAAAGGAAATCTGCAGCTAAGTAGATGTGATGCTGTGCCAGGAGCCGCGCTTTCCAGCTTATAGTTTTTCGATTGACCTCGGAAATTATATGCTGAACCTACGGCCTTCCTCACAACGCTGTTCTCAAAGCAGCGTTCAATGTCGCTTCACTTCTTTATTGTTGTGAATGTGTGAACACTCTTTCAAGCTTTTTCCAAAAAAAGGTAAATTCAGTTGCTATCTGTTCCATTATTGCTTATCAATCTGCAAGTTGGATTTATCAGCGTAAAAAATTAACTTGCAATTTTACGGAAAATTTTTGAAACTGCATTAGTAACAAAACGTGAACGAACGGTAATGGCACGAAGACGAGTCGCAGTGAGCGAAAAATATAGGCCCTGCTCTGCGAAACAAGGAGCGCTTGTGGGCGCTAATCTGAGGTGTTAGAGGCAACAAATCTGGATTGCTGGAGTATGAAGTTGGACAGGGAACAAAGTGAAATTTAGATGATCTGTCAGTAAGAAGCTTAGCGACAGTTGCTTTAGGCGCAGCTCCCGAGCATCCTCAGAGGTGGCGAGAGATTGCAACAATCCTTTTAGCTTTTTATTATGGAGGATGAGACGGAGCATTGCCATGATGCGGAACCTCCTGGACGTGTCACTGCAAGAGACTGCGGTGCAGAGTAACCCCGCGCTGAGCAACCAACCTCCCGATTCAGGGTGGATGAGGTTTATAAATAAAACGTTTTATGGCCAATATAGTATGCACTACTAATATATTAAACACTAATAAAAATTATTATTGTGTTTCGACGGACTCGACGAAAAATATTTCAATGATAGATTTTGGTCGACGCTCCGCCATAGATCAGCCATCGGACAAAATCTAAATTAAGACAGTGTGCGAAAAATGTTAGAAAATACGGTAAAGCAGAATGCATATGATACATGATCGACTGTTTGAATGTTTGATCCAACAATACATTAATTACTTTACATTTACTATTTATTCAACGAACTCGCACTCTATTCAAATTTTATAGATGATATTCCGTTGCTTAATTCAAACTCAATTGTTTACGGCTAAAGTATAATGTGCAGATTGAAAAGAAATTATGTTCATTTCGTTCTAGATGATATATCGATCAAATATGGTGATGACTTATAAATAAAATTCATTATCTGTGTTGACTTAGGTTCATGTTTGGCGGAAAATTCTACGGTTGGAATTTTTTTAAAAAGAGAAATATTTCGAAAATTCAAGCAGAAGGCTTCGACGGTGATGCCGCGATTCGCGGTTGCCATCTTACAGGCACAACGGCCGTGCGGGAGCGATCGAGTAACCCTCCTGCAGTCGAGCTTTCTGATCCCTCACTTCAATATGGGATTACTGAGGTTTTGCACTTTGTAATCAAAGCATCCAATCGCACGGATGACGACGCGAGAAAGTGACGGCTGGAGAGCATCTTTGTGGAGATCACAGGATTGCGGCTTCCATGCAGGGAGTCATCTTTCGCTCCTGCCTAAGTTCTCTGTTAAAAATTTATACAGGATTATGTGATGAATAATAACGACGCTCCAGATTATAGGTGGAAGTATTTAATAAAAAATTTGTGAATCATTTCCTGTCATTTTACAAAAACTCTTGATGTTATGAAATTAGTGAGACAGTCCACAACTTTAGTTATAACAAGAATGTTAGCTTTACATACAGATTAGTAGAGTTACTCACTTTTCATGTACTATGATGAACCTCAAGATCATTTTTATTCCAAATTAAGAATTTAAAAATTAACCACTGTACATAGATAATTCAAAAATACTCTTCGGATCACAATAGCATTTATTTTTGTATCTTTTTTCAATTATACTGTATGTCTGCATACATTGCAGTTACAAATCACTCCGCGACGGAACGACGTACTTGTGAGCCGATATTTTATGAATCAATGTTTGATTACTTCGAATTCGAAATCGGTAGTCATTCATTCATATACGTAACACTATAATTCATATAACGAGAGTTTGCCAGCCTTTTCTGACGCGTGATCCGCCCTCTAGTGAACATATTACTGAACGAATCATTTCACTCCGTCTATGGCTGTCTAGTAAATATTTCAAAGATTTTTCTACGAGCATTCTAATTTCTCTGCTCCCGAAGCATTCAATGCGTTCCATTCTTGCTTCATGTCGCTGTACTTATTTGAAAGAATTTCAATTCACTTCGTTCGTAACAGAAGATCAGAGCCCCAACCCCGTCACGTTACTATCATGACTGAGCGCGATGAAGGATGGTGCTGGTGGTGTCGTTTGTATTCCTCAATATGCCATTAGCTGATCCTGGGCCTCTTAAGCGAACCTGCCAACTCCTCCGTCTCCAGCAGCAAGCCCAGGCGAGATCATCTTCGTGAAAGATGCTCCAGCTGATCGCTTGTGGCCCCCAGCCTTCCTGCCAATCTAATCAACTTTCCGCACCACGTATTCTCTCCAAGAGAACTCAGCAAATTGAAAATTGACGTGATTGATGGTCGAAAATTATATGCGACCTTTGTTTTGTCTGCGCATTTCTTGTGCCATGATGTAGGTGCAGTTTTTCGACCAGAGGTCATGTACTCCAGAGGGTTTTTCGAAGTGAGTATGGTACGGGCATGCCATAAAAATTTTTGTTTATGCATGAAAGATGAAATATTCCTATGGGTAAACGAAAAAAATTAATAAATTGAAGCATTATCGCTTTATAGTTCATATATCGAGAAGAAAAAGTCAATCTTAAACTAAAGCTCCTTCAATCAATGATGAGCTACGTAACGTTACCATGCAGTACTGATTAGCTTTTGTTTATCCAACAGAAAATATGCAGTGTTTCCTTCAACAACTCTTATGTCTGAGTCACTATGTTGCCAGATGAAGGGATAACCATAGTTCTCCATCTTCCCCTTCTGACTAAGACTGAGTGTGAAGTGGCACGTGTGTTGATAAATGAGAGCTCAAATTTGGATCATTTATATCCAGAAATAGGTCATTACAGCAAACCTACGGCCGGGAACAAGAACTTCATCAGTCAGGTGGCAGTTCAAGCGCGCCTAGCCGGAATCAGATGCGGCGCCCTTAAGTCAGCAGAGTCAGCGTAATTTTGAAAATCAGAAGAGAATCATAAAAAACCTCCAATTATCCAGACGAAGTTATTAACTGTTTAGTGATAGTAGTTTTGTAGCATGAAATGTTCGATACGTTTGCAGATGATAATAAAAAAAGTCAGTGAGGATAATAAAATTCAGCTTTAGGATGCTAATGCTTGGTTCATCTAAGATAAAATTAGATTAACTTAGAAGCAGACATGAAAGCTCGTCTCTATTCAAGAAAATCTCAACATTTCGTCAGGTTGAGAACTTTTATCATTTGTTCTTACTGTTTCGAGCAGGAAGGAAGAACTCAAAGATTTGACCTAATTTTCTTTACTATGATTACTGTGACGACAAGTCATCGAGAAGCAAAAAAAAAAAAATTGCCACCAAAATTGAGGAGCATCAATTGAGAAGCAAACTCGGAATACTAAGCAAGATATTTTAATTATCCGTTATAACGTATTTGCCATCTGGAGATAGGTCTCCCGGCTGATACGTTGTGTTATGGTTTATGAAATTACTTAGTGTTGCTTCACGCTCGAATTTGGTGGTACGGACGCGCTGCTGAAGAAACGGCCGCAAGTGGTCCTGCTCGCGCCTCTCCACGAGCGCAGAAACTTGCTCATGGAGCTCGGGCGTCGGGGCGACAAGGCGCGCGTCTTTACGACTGGACGAAAGATAACAGAAGGGGGTTATGAGCGTGAGGAAGGACATGCATTCATTGAAAATCTTCTGCTTAGTAGTTTTTTATTCACCTGGATGCTGCCATTTGCTCGCAATTCTATTAGACGAAAAATGTAGCTACTGTAGGTAGTGAAAAGCTACTCAAAATGTAGCTACTATAGCTATTGAAAAACTACCCAAAATGTAACTACTAAAATTGACCAGGAAAACTTGACTACGAAGTAAGGAAATTTGTAATTACTGTGAATCAATGAATTAAACATAAATTGGTAAAAACAATTGATTCGATAACTTTAAGTCTAAATTTCATTTAAAATTTCCTCTTGAATGCCAAGACACTTACCAATAGAGAACGGACAAGGGGCAGCCAACCACGTAGAGGCGACGGCCTTCGACGTTGAATATCATCAGCCCTCCAAAAATTTCCAAGGTGTCCAGGTCGTACGTTCCGAGGCTCTGAATGTGACAAAGGTCGTTAAGGAAGTTTTCATTGCCCTGTCTATTCGTGATTAAAATTGTAACTTTCTATTATTCAAACATGAGATTTTCATTTCAGTACACTTCAATTGTATAATCAACAATTTTCATTTGAATCTGACTTCTGCGAGACTCTCACGTATTTAATCCCGGGAAACAATTTTCTGATTCATTAATAATCTTCACGACCTTCAAAACAGTGTAAAGCTTCTCAGTTAACATAATAATTCAAATATATATAATATTTCACTACGTATAGCATTTCTATTGCAGAATTGAACTAAATGGTATTTAGCCTCTAAATCGTACTTAGCAGTACTTAATAAATGGTGTAACGTAAGAAATACACCAGTACTGCAGATTATTCTAAAACAAACCATCATGATTGTTGCAAAGCTCAGTTGTTCGTCGTGGTGCGTGATCGCGGAGACGTACGTAACGATCGGACCGGTGCCATTTCTCGGCAATTTCTCGGAGCTGCTAAGCACGTCGACAACTACAGGCTGCGCCCTCCGCAACTCTTCCGCAAGATGGGCTTCGTACGCGTCTTTTTGTAGCCTAGACGCCCAATGAAAAATCGTGTGCATGCACTCAGACGAAAAACTAGGTAACAATGTCAAAATAGTGTTACACTTTCCCACTCACAGTACGAGCAGAGAACGGACGTACCACTAATACTCCCTTATGCTGAGCCCAATTGGGTCATGCTGACCCAGAGAAAGGCAAGAAGTGCATAGCTATTTTGACCAATTTAACTCATTTCCTTGAGCGAGGAAAAAATTCCTTGGACCTTGACTTTTCATTCATAATGTTGTTCCTATTTAAAGTTGTTCCTATTTAAGGTTGTTAAAATTTTTAAGGTTGTTAAAATTTGAGGTTGTTCCTATTTAAGGTTGTTCCTATTAAAGGTTGTTCCTATATAAGGTTGTTCTTTTTAAGTTTGTTCCTACACTCATGTTCAATAGAGAACCCAGGTTTAATTTCTCACGCTCACTTGGTCAAGTTCTGGAGCTGCGCGTCTCTGTCGGTGTTGACGATGATTCTCTCATAAAAGATGGTTTGGTAGAAGCCGCTGACGTGCACGCCAAGACCTCCGTCGTGATACGTGCGCGACACTTCAGGAATTAAGACGTCCCGACCTCTGCTGGTCCTGTTGTCCCGTAGCATCCACTTGTCCCAGTCACCCGTCTGCAACATCAATATTATTGTGTGTATACATGGAATGTGGGGAGTGAGTCAAGTGAGTGGTGAGTCAAGTGAGTGGTGAGTCAAGTGAGGAGTGAGTCAAGTGAGGAGTGAGTCAAGTGAATGAGTAGTGTGTCAAGTGAGTAGTGAGTCACGTGAGTAGTGAGTCAAGTGAGGAGTGTGTCAAGTGAGTAGTGAGTCACGTGAGTAGTGAGTCAAGTGAGTAGTGTGTCAAGTGAGGAGTGAGTCAAGTGAGAAGTGAGTCAAGTGAGTAGTGAGTCACGTGAGTAGTGAGTCAAGTGAGTAGTGTGTCAGGTGAGGAGTGAGTCAAGTGAGGAGTGGGTCAAGTGAGTAATATCAAGGAGCACGTGTATCAGTTGCCTTGCTGCCAAAGAAGCCTACAATCCCTACATACATTCATTGATGAATAATATTGGAAGATACACACCGCACACTTCTCAGAACAGAGCCACTGATAAACATGTTTGATTCAATAGAGTAAATTCTTATGTCACGTTGTTAGTATTATTACAATATACGTGCTTGCTCATGTACTCATCTTGCGATGTGAACCTGTAGTTCTTCATCTCAAATTAGATAATTAAATTTTTTACACTACTTGTTATAACTTATTAATATATTTATGTTATTACCTGTTGATTATTATTATCAAATAATACTACTAATATCAATATTTAGTAGCAGCACCCAGTCAATCACCTCATCGTTCATCCAGCTGGTCACGACCTGACGGGCGACATGTCGTCTCATCATCCAGCCGTAGTATGGATACGCCTGGACCCTGCGCAGCGCCGCGGTGTCGAGCGCCACGCCCCTGATGCTGTTGTAGCTGAACGCGTTCACCGCCAGCAGCGTCGGGTCCACGTCCAACAACCACGATGTTTCTTGGAAGTATCTGCGCCATATACTCTGAGATATAAGTGGGACTCTTTACAAAAAAGATGAGCTCTCATTACTCTTGTACTGCAAATCGGTACCAAGTTTGGCTCGATAAAAGGTTCCATAAGTCTTCTGTTCTCTGCAAATTTTGAAACGTTCTCTGCAGCAAGTTTTCTGAGTAAGAAAGTGTTTCAATATTTGAAGAATACAATACTTTAATTTGTCTGAATGTATTAAATTACCTCAGCGATTAGCTTTTACTTATTTGATAAATGATGCGGAATGAAGTTCTCTTCATTATTTCTCTAACAAAACACAGAAACCTTTATTTGTTCTACGTACAAGGCTTCATGTTTCTCGTATATACAATGAGTGATATTTCATTGACTGCCTCAGCAGTCCAGGACGGTACATCGAGCATTGCAGCGAAAAGCTTTTAAATTCATAAAAATCACGAAAAAATGTATAAATGACTTAGCTTTGACTAGCCTCGATCCTCATACGAGTACAGCAAGCATTCTCATATCGACGGATGGTAATTACAGTAGTTAACTGACACGATACTTGGTTCGGGAAATTGTTGCTGAGTCATGCACACATGGAAGATGAGTTTCAGCAAGTAAATAAATTAAATTTAAAAATTGTTTCATCCATCGTCGCCAATTGATGACCTTAATTATCAGCTATATGAACAATTTCAAATTACTCTCAATCGGGAGATATTCAACTATTTCAATTAATCAAATACACATTCTATTTGTGAATAAATTGATTATTGTTCTTTAGATAACGCTATAATATTCCAAAGACCAAGTACCTGATAATGTCTGGTGACACTACGAGATCATCCTCCAAAATAACGGCCTTGTCGCTCTCCGGGAAGACATCGAAGACTGATTCGAGAGCAAACCTAACGTTGGTGTTGGGTCTGACGTTAGAGTGAGGCTCTCCTTGGGGCTTGTGGACGATGAATGCGATCCCAAGCACCCCGGCCAGAGCCATCGTCTCTTCTTGGATACCGTCGATGACCAACAGGATTTCTGTTTGAGCAGAACCTGATGCCTCCAGCAATGACCGCAAGGTTCTAAAAAAAACAGAGTTACTATATTCGAATTCAATCATCAACTATCCTATAACGATTCGGTTGTGATTTCTAACTTCTACTCTCTGAACCTGTATGCACCTTGTATGAAAAAATATAACTCAGTAGGTACTCACTGCAGTGAGTGACAGAGAGCGCATAGTCTCGTCAACGAAAACGCGAAGTCACGGACGGACAGACAAACGGACGAACATGGCAAGCACAATAGTGCCTTTTTTTCATAAATGAGAAAATGCGCTAAAAACAGTGGCTCATTTTTATACAGTTTTCGTTTTAACTTAGTGCTGGTTCTAATGTCGTCTTAGGTATAATTATTGTCTATTATGATTAAATGAAATATGTGGCTAAGAATTTTTTGTATTTTCAGATTTATAATTAATTTTGACGCGCATCATACCTGTATAGCTTGCGTGGAGAGTTTGCAGTGACAACAGCGAACGGAATTTTTTCCCGTATTTTGATACGAGGCTGTGAATGCAGACAGGAAAACACTCACTATAAATACAGCATTTGTACGTTATTTCAAGCAATATTTACAATAAACTTCATATAAATGATTTTGCTCACTTGCTGGTATTTCATTTTGCTGGTGAAGGGATCGCGACATCTGCATAGATCGTCGTAACCATCGTACTTCGTGCAAAAATGTCGCTGTTCTTTCATCGTCGTTTCTTCGTGCCAGTCACACGCTACGTCTGAAATGAAATGTTTAGAGCAAATCATAATATTTCTAAGAAGCTTCTATAGAATGTCTTTTTTTTATTTGATATATGCTAGTACCTTCTGAGATTTTCCATAATATAAAAAAAATCTTCTAAATTTGTAACTCACGATTGATCAATTTCGAAGCATTATAATTTTGACTAAGCAAAATATATCTCATAATTTCTGTCATTCTTCACCTTTATACTTTTTGTTTGGCAGCATTATATTCAATAGGATTGGTTTTGAAATTCTTAGAGTGGTCACCGTGGCTTCTGCAATCACTCTGCCAGTCCAAACTGAAGCCTTAGCATGGAATTTGTCTCCATTTTTCCGTAGGATCGATTCCTTATCCAGCCAGGTTGGAATTTTATCATTATGACGAGGATCCGCCGTATAAATTTCTTTGTCGGAGTCATGCCAAGATTGAAAATCGGCCTCTTCCTGAAATCATGATAACAGCTTGTTATTATCGATATATTATATAATTTCATTCACTAAAATATTTACTCATATTCATTGTATTTATTATATTTCTTACTATGACCATATAAAAGTGTCTTCTTCACCAATCACATCAAAAAGTGGGCGCTTTCATGATATTACGAATAATGTACTAACCACTCTGGTTAGATTTAAGAAAAAATGCATGGAACATTGTTAGATAAATAAAATATTATCTATGTTGAATCTGCTGTTACATAATTATGTTGTATATGTTATTTCACAGAGTATTTAGTTGAACCGTCTCACTCCAGAAATCTTTCCTCGCTCGTAGATATTAAATATACCCTTTGTCATAACGACACAACATGATCGCCTAGTATGCTATAAATAAAATAAAGGTTTCATAGATGGAAAATATGTGTTAAATTTACGTGCATGGAGATCCACGTACATGATTATAAATGGCCATATCGCTTCGTTTCTCCCGACCGAAGTTTTCCAGTGTAGAGTCCAAGAATGCTACTCCGATCCACGCTTCATGGTTACAAGTTTTGTGGCCGCCAAGGTTGAACCCGAGTAAACGGAAGGTTTTTTTCGCCTCCTCGCCCAAGAATAGAATCCATTCTGGCTGCATATTGATAAAGTTTAAAGGATTTGTTCTACAGTTTACGTGGTGCACCATTGTAAATGTGTGTATACGTTTTTACAAGGTGCACATGCACGGCTTGTGGATGCCGATGATGTAGCAAAATATGTACTTGGTGTAGGTTTTAGGGTAGATTCCATTTTATTTGTTAAGTATTATGTAAATAATATTTTTGAATGTTTAATTAATGCCATTACCGCATAATTTTAGGAATTATATGTGAGAGAATCAAGAATGCATATAATATTAACTTCTCAAGATGATATCTCGTGAACTATCAGTTTCATCCTCTGCATTATCGATAAGTTAACTGTAAGAATTTGAAGTCCAAAAAAAGTTAAGTAGTAATTAATATTAAGCATTCAAGATATTAAGCATCAAAATTGATGTATTATTATTAAGTATCAAGTATATATAAAGAATGTTAAGTATCAAGATAACAGTTTTAAGCTGTACCTACAACTGCTAAGAAAATGACAAGTCTTCCCGGCTGCAGGGCTTGCAGGAAGCGCACGAGCTGCGCCCCCTGGCCGGGGTGGTAAGTCTGGAAGCGGTCGACCGCCTTCACGTCACCAGCGGGAGATACCGAGACCACGGTCACGCCGTGGTAGGGCCAAGTGTCGTTCTTGTTGCTATCTGACACTCCATTTGAGGGCTGGTCAAGTATCTAGGATTTGTATGTAGCGTTATCAGTTTCAATTAAATATCGCGGGTTGACTCACATGCAATATGAAAGATTGCTTCGTATACTTTCAGTGACATATATATTGGTCCTCACTCAGCAGCTACTGCACAGAACTTGCCGCTCGTACATAAACCCCGTAGAATACTAGTAAAAATTGTGACTCGTAGCCTTCCATTGTCACAAAATAACTAAGAAGCTTTTGCAATTGCGTGAAAATTTGTGGCTTAGATTCGTTAAATAGATCGTTTCTTTTGAATGCCGACATGTGTGCTGCGGTGAAGTTTGAGGCATTTAAGTTAGGTATAACTTTTAACTGAACCAAATAGGACATGATGAAAAAATCTCACCCTTTCGGTGTGTTAAACAAACAATATCTAATCTTAGCCTAGCTCACCTTGCGTCCATTGAGAGTGATTTGCAGCAGCGTGCGGTTGAGGCTGGCTGTTAGCTCCAAGTGCTGCATCTGCAAAGCTTGAAAATTTATGAAGACCGAGTCTCGAGTGAAGAATACCACCAGGTATTGTGCATTTATATTTCACATTGTGTTCTAGAATTGATGGGTTGCTGTTGGCAGTGAAAGTACAAGTAGTCTGTTGGGAAGGCTTCATGTTTACTTCACGATGCCTGTAATGCTCAAGTGAAAAGGTGGTGTTATGGTAAACGGTTAGAAGTTAAATAACTGAAGTTTTGTCATTTACTCAAACATGTTATGCATGTATGTTTATAGTCAATTTTTGTTTCCGTAAATTCGTGGACATGTTACCTCTGAGAGACTGGTAGTGTGGCCAGTCTAATGTTTCCCTCAGCTCTCTGCTCCCTGAAACATCGAAGTTTTAGACAATCCTGAAGAGGTAATATGCAAAATATGTGCATTATATATTATAAGAGGTAATATGCAAAATATGTGCATTATTCCTAAATAATGATAATGTGAATCTCATTCACCATATATATAGTCAAGTTTAAGATAAATAATTTCAAAATATCACTTAATTGTCGTGGATTTTCAAACAAGGTATTTATTTTCCATCTATTGAAGTTGGTAATTTATTTATCGAAATTTCCGCATACTGAGCTCATTTCTCACCAAAAGTTTGTCTTCGGGGCCTGGTGTAGAATGAACCGCCTTCTAGCATCGTGAGGTTAAAATTTTTGACTACGGCTGCCCTGAAATAGCTTCTAGCTGACACCAACGTCTCTAATATGAGTAACAAACTTGCCAGCAACGCGTGCTGGCTCCTTTTTATCATGTGCATCAAATTCCTTTGTGTAAAACCAAGTAAATTTCAAGATTTTCACCAAGCCTTTCCTTCAAATTTTAACATTGATTGGCTGCGAGTAAACGGCAATGTTTTATAGCAACCTCATGTGCTCTCATCAATAGGGGAATGATTTTCAAATGGGTTCAAAAAAATATTCGGCTTGTTGAATTTGTGTCAATATTTGGTCGGGTAGCAGCTTCATCAAGTCCCTTCACAGTAAATTTGGAACTGATGACTACAAATTCAGGTTGATGCTCTCGATTCAATATAAAATTAGAACAATTACATGAATAATATGAAGTTCCACTCTTCCTGGCTAGCACAGCACATACGCACACAGCTCGCTGCCAGCAAGGACGCACTCTCAAACATGCGTCACTTTTTTCTACAAAACTCAGAAAAGGAAAACTGAGCTGAATTGATGTATTAATGAGAGCATTTTCCTTGTAACGCAAATGCCACATGAGTTTCCTTGAATTTTGGTCAGGCACAAACTATTTGGTACAGTGCTGGACTACTTCTATTTGATTAATATTTTTGTAGCGACATGGGTAAATAAGTTCATCTTTCCATCCATGGAAGAGGCAGTGAGTAATACAAATTCAATGATTCCAACGGAAATCCTCATTTGATCAAAGTAGGTAAACAAAGAACACAATTAAATCACAATTGAATATTGTCTAGAGAACAACACTATTTTCTGCGTAAAGCGGTCAGGGTATCGAATTTTCACTGCACCTTAAAATTTGAGGAAAGTCAAATATTTAAAAATTTATTCCCGAATTGATTGCGGAGAAGAATGTTAAACAATTAATGCTTACGAAATATAAGGTGGAAAAATTTATTCTGTAAAAATATAAATAGCATACCCTTGTTTAAAAGTGTCACAGCTCACATGCTATTTCTTCGATAGTGCTTCAAATACTTATGGAAGTTTTCAACAAAAATCAACATGGTGAAAGAGCTCCAACGACACAGGTAACAACAGTCAACTTTATAACACAGTCCAAACTACACTGGTAACAACAGTGTACAAACACTACACTGTCCAAACTACACTGCTAACAACAGTCAGCATGGTAACAATTCCTAACGGCAGTCAACTTGGTAATATAGTCCTAACTGCAACGGTAACCGCAGTCAGCGTGGAAATAAAGTCCTACAGTCCACACGCAAAGCTACTCAGACAATCTCAGCCCACTTGCAAAGAGAATCCTTCAAACGGAGGAAGTTTGTGAGCAACACACGCCGTTTGTGGGGCTTAAGTCCATCTGTCAGTCTGATCGGCAGCAGGCAATGTGTTGAGGAGACCTCAGCCTCTTATCTACGACCTCCTCTGCTTCCTCAGATGGGCTCCTGACCTGACTCTTGAAGCAGCAGTAAAACTGGCCTTCCTGGAAATCATTCGAGTATCAAAGTTCCCTACCATCTGCAACCAATAAATGCCACCTATAACTGTCAAAGATTTAGTCATGGAAGTCATTACGGCATGAATTTTTTGATCGTATAGAGCAAACAAATAAGCTGCGAATGAATAATTTTTGCCATAGACTAGACTTTATGCAGATTCTTGAGCAATAAAATTTTACCACGGGAGCACTTTTACTCGCCAGTTATCCTCGCCATTATTGCTAACCGAATAGGGAGCGATCCAATCACGCGTGATTGGGGTTTTGTTCTGCAAATCGAACACGCGTTTTCTCGCGATTACGATCTACTTCACAGTGAAGGATGTTATATAAATTATAAACGAAAATTTGACCGGCTGAGCAATTTATGCATGTGCAAAAGGGGTTGATTAATTTTTCGTTATGAAAAATGAAATTATTCAACAATTTTCATATTCATAAGAACCGCATTGTTTGAATATGCATAATTTATTCCAGCTATAATTAAATGTGCATTTATAGCTAGTACAGTCTCATATAATTTAGGCGAAATCATTATCAAACTACGTGCCGTAAACTCACCGTAAACTAATATCAACAGCATTGGAGCTGCCCATAAATATTTCAATCTAAGTAAGTCGAATTATTCTCTATAATTTTAATGAAACAGAGTAAAGAAAAGACTGAGCTCAAATATTGAAGCACAATAAATAACTCGATATCATAAAAATCACAACTTTTATGATTAAATTCGCAGGTTTTTTTTCCAACCGTCATAGATGGTGATTGAGGGCACGGACTTTATATTGCTGGATGATCTGTTTGGTTTCCCCTAATGTGCTCCCTCGAATTATTCCAGAGGGCTATTCAATTCATCTGATAAAACTTTGTCCATAAAGCCTGCCGAAGCTAAAATTTTTGCAAAACCAATAAGCACGGCGCGCATCTCAGCAGACATGTCGGTCAGATGCCTCAGCCGCTATGGTCGCCGATTTTGAACCTTATTTTCGTGGATCATAGGAGCCATAAGTTGACTGATTCTTCATCACGCTGCGAAATAGTGTAGGTTTCTCCGTCATTACGATAAGCGAAGCGATAGCTCCCTTCACTGCTGGATGCCGCGCCCGATAAACAAATCTGAAAGTTTCCAGTCAGGGGAGCCGATATGACCGGAGCAAACAGCCTGACGTCGTATCATGGGCACTGAGATTCTTGTTTCTTGGAAGCGAGTGCAGGAGGGAAATTTCTGCTGGTGAGGTCTTCCCATCACCCACTTCCTACTTCATCTTCCCTCACCCATTCGTTTCCTGCTCTCTCCTCCCTCCACAAGTTTCCAACTGTCCCCCACAAGTTCCCAGCTCTCCCTACAAGTTCCCAACTGTCCCCCGCAAGTTCCAAACTGTCCCCCGCAAGTTCCTAGCCCTCCTTCACTTGTTCCCCGCTCTCCCTCCCCACAAGTTCCCAGGTCTTTCCCCTCACCCGTAGCCCACAAGCATGTGGCTGTGTGGCCGCGAATAAAAAATTCTTCCATGCTTTATGGCCCCGATAAAGAAAGATGGCGGTAGCGGCAGGGCGGCTTTACGACCGACGGCGCTTATTGTCCCGGAATTTCTGCGCTTCGAGACGCTTATTGTGCCAGACTCCATGTCGGTCGTCGGGGCTGCAAGACCCGGCGAGATCTTCCTAGTCCGGTGTCTTCAGGTCTCGTCTACATCGGTTTAGTTTCCAATAAAAGATATTGCGACGGATTTACGCTATGTTGATCTCCTTCCAAAATGCCTTGATGTAAAAATACCCAATCGATTTATGTGCCCGATTTTGTTATTAACTTCCGAGTGACAGGATGTTTAGGGGATTGAATTTCCTTACAATGTTGAAGTTCATAAATTATCCAGAAGTCTCACTTGCTTAGTAAGACGACAAAATTAGTAATACTGTTCATGGTGAACTTCCAAGTTGTGCTAGCATAATGTTTAATTACACTAGATTTATTGCGTTTTATACTGATAGTTCAATCTGAATTGGAGAATACCTTTTGGAACAACAAGAATTATTCTTGTGATCCACTTATTCTCATGATTTTGAGGCAACATACATGAAAGAGGAAAAAATTTAAGAAGACAGAAACGCATTCAAAACTTGTTTTAAAACAGACAAATATTTAAGTCAAGTTTGAAACATGAACATATACAAGAAAAAAAAGAAACATATGGCAATTGTGTTTAAAACAAGAACATACATAAGCCATCAAATAAACGATGTGGCAAGGACACATGTGTTTTGCTCAGGAAAAACTCAGACAGAGCGCCAGGAGTCATTGCAGAGAGGAGATGAAGAGCGGACAGCAATTTCTGGTGCAAGAAATACTGAGGTCTTTTGGTTGCAATAGAAAGTCGTGCATGAGGCGGGCACAATGTCATCCCAGCAGGGCGACACAATGGAGAGCATGAGGCGTCACTGGCGGTAAAGCACGGCTCGTTTTGACAATCTTTCAGAGCGACAAGCTTTCCGGCCGCCTGCTATCTTTTGGAACGCTATCTGTGGCCTCTAAAAATGCTAATGCGCTACTGAATCGAGCGACGATGCCGTTCCTTTGTGAGGGCTGCTAAAGAGACCTCACATGATGCTGCTGATGCAGCTTTGCTGGAGAGACCTCATATGAAGCTGCTTGTGCTGCAGATGTAACCTTCGCGTGTGTGGCTCTGTTTGTGCTGCTGTTGTAACCTTCACGTGTTCGGCTCTCGAAGTGCTGCTACAGGCCAGTTCTAACTCACAGGGGCCATTTCTCCCTTTAGATTATATTTTGCTACTGAACACTGGCAACGAAGTTTATGTACGGAACGTGTAAAGAAGTGCTCAATCTGCCTACTGACGCAATCTGCCTACTGACTTAATAATCCTACTGACGCTCTCCAGGATTATTAAATGCTTGCCTCGTATATGATAGCAAAGCCTTAGCTGCTATGACGATACGGATTTTCATAATAATTATCTCATTAAACGGTTATCGACTTTAATGGCATACGGACTATATGGATGTGATTATAACAATGCCCAAAGTATAATTTAAAAAGTTTAAAATTTCTAAGTCAATAAAAATACAAACATTTTCGATAATTCTCTTCGGATGCGGAAAATGAAAGAAACTGAAGTGATGGAGCCTAGCCATTTTTTAAATGAAACGAAACCACTCTAATTCCATGCAGCAATTCTGTGATTACTGAAATGAATTAAACTATTTGAGATTTCCAACTAATCAATGTATTTTGAAGTAGTTCGCATTAAATCGAGACCTCTTCCCATTGAATGTCTCATCGAACAGATGGACGCCTTACAACAGCGGGATCTTCTCAAATGGACCCTGGGGTCGCTACAATCGTCATAATTATAATGTCTCCAAGTTTCCCGACAAGACCAATCTTGTTAATGGAAGCCACTGCCTTCGTATCCCGCCAGCTATCAATAAAATCGGCCATGAATCGTCAGAAATATTCCATGAATCATCCAGAACGGTCACCGGCCTGCAGAGTATTTATTTTACAGCATATTATTGCCTCCGTTTATTGTGAGACATGTTCTTTGCAGACTCGTCGTCTATTTTATTTAGAGGAATTCATTAAAATTATTTCGATCATATTCTGCGCATTAATAGAATTTTGTTGAACTTGCCAATCGAAAAATGCAATATCAAATTCGTTGTAAATGGTTTTACAAATGATGTGCATGTAAATTTTTGGTTAATTGAGGCGAGGTATTCATTTTTTCTCATCAGAACATGAATATTTTGCTGACAATATCAATGCCATGAATGCACAAAACTAAAACGCACCATTTTAAACATGTATCTTAAATCTGATCAGATATGCAGCCGCTGAATTATAAGGGTGGTCGCTCGAGAAGTTATTGCTGAAGACCTTAATTCCAGATTCCTCGCATCACATTCGAAAACCTTTTCCACACAAAACACACTAGGCAATATTATTATTGACACATTCGAAAATATATAAACTGTTTTTCATTCCACTACCGACCACCGTGTTCAATATCCCGCAAATAGTTGGATAGACGTTTTTTCGCTATCAAACCGAGGATGTTATCTCTTTGGGCGCCGAATGTCAGATTAGTTCTATATTCGTACCTGGATTTATCTTGCATCAAATTGATTCAAGGCCAGAATTTTTCTCTATTGAGAAATATAAGATTCATTGATAACTTTTTCAGACTCATCATAAGACGAAGTGGGAGCAACATGTATCAATAATGTCATAACAGAAGGAAGGGGGTACACGTACAGCTATATCACCTACTATAGCTACCGCGAAGTCGACGTACTTCGAGAGTGAGTTCTGTATTTGTTAATAATCCGGCCAACTGATTCCCATAATTGAAGCGCCAAGTCCTTTTCTAAACATAGAGATTCGCCCATGGAGAGCTCTATTTTTGACGACACGATGTATCCTCTAGTATGCAGGATAATTGCCAACTCAGCTTCTCAGTTGATCATTCACGAACACCATGAAACGGCTGCATGCAAAGTAATCAGATTTAGACGAACGCATCCAATACCAGAGAGTATCTCATGATGCTCGTCGAGTCTAAATATATTTCACTTCCTAATTCAGTGTCATAACTCTTTCATAAATAGAAAACAAATATTTGGTTACAGCGGCGTATTAAATTGAACCATGACTACTGGTATGTTTTTCATCTTTAAATATATTTGGAAAATGATGTTTTATTCATGGGAAACATGTCGAGGTAATATGTGCATGTGAAAGTGAATTCGACCACTTATCCTTGACATGATATCTATCTTACTTACCTCGATTAGATGTCTTCATGCCACGCTCCGTCGTATCTTGCAACGTGAAAACCAAATTGTTATTATCTATATACAGATATCTCGCATGGGAATGCACATGTGCGTAAGATTGCCTTATGTAAACTGAAGATTTCGGCTCTGCGTCGTGACAGTTGACATACTCAGTCAATATGGACAGCATCAAATGCTTCTTCGTGTTGAGGTAAGTTTGAGGTTTTAAGGATTTTAATTCACTTTCTTTAATGATTAGCAGTGGTCACTGCACAAATTATATTTTTGATGAGTCCATCGAGGTTCTGACGCGAGGTTCTATCGAGGTTCACAATCGAATGAACACAAACGAGATGAAAAGAATTGATCATATGATAAGACTGTCTTGAGTTGCCGTACACTACAATATTGTCCATCTGCGAATTGAGTAGCAACAAGCAGCTTAGACGTAACCGCTGTTTTTTGTTGCGCACTTCGTGATGGCGTGCAATGACAGTCGGTCTGAATCTTCGATCACCTTTTTCATACAATATGAATATCTATCTAATAACCGATCGAAACCATGTTTATATTAATCTATTTCATAATCGATTTAATAAATTACATTTTAATTGCAAACGAAATCGGAGAAGTGAATGACTTAATGATAGATAATATTATAGATTTGATAGTGGAATTGTTATTTCATGTTATATATGACTGAGAACCTGGTCCCTGTTAGTGCGTTCCTGATGCCACATGCGCTGGCAGCATCGTCGACCAACAGGACCGTCATCTTCATCTTCTACGAGACGTTGCCGGAACAAAGCCTCTTCATCAGGGGAGGACTTGATACAAACCTGCACTCCGGTACGTTTCCGGTTACTGTGCAGTGTTTCTAACATATCTATGGATCCTGGTAGTGATATAATACAAATAAAAATATTGCACAGCAAATTTTGTGTTGTACTGCGTAAATTTAAATTACCACAATTCTACAAACTCTTTTAATGGTGCGCTGAAATTTCAACCCACTTCTTAATTTATTTGAGTAAAAACTGTGTTGAGGTTATCATTTGAAATTATCTGTGCACCATACTCTCTGATATTTTGTTCTAAGTAATTTTTTTATCTAAACAATGATATAAAGAAAATATAGTGGCGAACACGCACATCATTTCTCTGAATTAAATCACTTGAAACAATTTGCTCTCGGCCAGGTTGTATCTACGAAGCAGTTAGAACTAATTTCATATATATCCAAAACTCTGCAGGCACCTAAAATGTCATGTCATGTCATCCTATTTCAATGTTACTTATTTTTAGACTTCCTATATAGAGTCTTGTGTCTTTTATTTTAATTTTATGCATTATTCTATTGCTTCCAGGTTGTGACACTGATGAGGTGACGGGCGACGCCTGCGCTATCCCGATGCGCACTCGACTTCTGGGTACCATTGACCACTACGACGGCTACAACGCATGGCGCGCTGGTGACAACTTCCTGGACTGGCACGGCGCCGAAGCTGGACAGGGAAGCTTTTACGGGGCTCCCGCTGAAGGAACGCCTCTCGTTTGGACGACCAGCAACATACTTAGCCCAGCCTACCAAGAACTTAACACGTAAGCGCCTAGGACTAGTCGAGATATTTTATTTACACGTGCAAACTATACATACATATATATGCTCTAATCTAACTTATAAAACCTGAATAATATTAAGACAAAAAATAATAAATGAGAATAATAACGTGACTTTAGGTTTTACTTCTTAGGAAGCATAGTAAAATTACAAATTATTTTTCACCATGCCCATTGTTTGCTGTTGAAATACATGAACTCTACTTAGCATATTGTCAGGCTCATACTCACACAAATAAATTAATTCTAATTGCGTTTGGCAGTTTTGGAGATCATTACTGGATGGTTGACATGGAAATGGACTGTCCTTTTGTGGAGGCGGACGGTTGGTTTGACGTTAAAGGCTACACCGCCCCCGCCAGCTTTGGATGGGAACCTGATGTAACCCAGGTATACTTTTATTTTATATACTTTTGAAATGGTATACCTGGTATAATACCATACTTTTCTTGTATTATTATCGATGTTTTAGCTATAGATCTTCGATTTTATAATCATTCACTCGTGTTTTCATTCAGAGTGAATAATGTATTTTCTGAAAAATTTATCTATTCCAATTCACAGGCTGAGCTTACCTGCTATGACTCAAAAATTATAATATCATTATAATTATCATTATATTGTTGCCGAAATATCATTAATCAATAAGAATAATGAAATATTTTATTGACACGAATTAATATTGGCAGACGGCTTGTGATGGCACTATTGGAGGCGTCTCGCCACATGCCTCAGTGAACCACATGGCTCGCTGTGGCGCTGTGAACATCTTCGAGCACGGCGGCTCTGCCTGCACCATCAACGCCTTCGAGGACTGAAGCACTGCCGAGGAAACGTTATGCATTTCTACCACTAGAGTCATTCAGTGATGGCACTATCGTATTATATGGAATAAATATTCATTATTATTGAAAATTTTTGGACTATTAAGATTTGGCGTTTTTTTTTTGGTGATCATGGAATTTTGGACTATTAAGAATTAGTCAACCATTGCGGTATCATTGGTGATCATAGGAAGAAACAACTCGTCGACGGTGTACTGGCACGCAGTCACGAGTATAGCAAATGAGTTCTCATTTATGGAGACAAATAAAGCTTACGAAATTCCAGCAGGTAGAAAAAAATACATTTTACTCCTACACGAGTTTACTCGTTTATGTCCCTAAATTCAGGAATAATATTTTTAATGCTTACATTTAGTCAATTCGTTAAATGATTCGGAGTCTGTTAAAATAGATATCTCAGATGCTATTTGTAGCAATTATCTCTTAGAAATAGCCAACATTTTTACAACAAATTTTGCAATAAGAGCTGGAAGAGCAGTTTCTTCCAATATCAATTTAGATTATGCTCCTTACGGCTTTGACCAACACCCCTGGAATTTATTGAGTAGTTCAAAATCACTCAAGCCACAGCTTATAAATCAAGCTTCACCTAGTCAGACAGCCATAACTAATAAATTATAAGAGTTACATTTACGAAAAAAGTGCACAACATTTCTGACAACGTGACAGTGAGTCTGAGGATCACTGCGCCAGTCGAGTCTTTGTCCTGAATGAGCAGAGCGCGACATCGGTTCGCGACGCCCGTTCGCTACGTCTCTTGAACTTCGGTCCAACACAAAAGATTATCGCTAATAGAATCATCGTTGCTGGGGTTGCGTTGCCTAAGGCAGCCATAAGCCACTCCATGACAAGCGTCTGCTCTGTTTCTCAGTGCCTGACAACGAGCTTCGTTGTGAACTGTCGTTCGATACAAAGCCGGATGCCTTCATTTGTAAGAATAATGACTTGAAACACTTAGGGAAAGCTTCATGCTGCTGTAAAACGAATATAACAATTTTGCAGCAAATCACCTGTTTAAATTATATTGTTGTTACATATTTTGTGACATGGCCCACCACGGTCGTGTTTCTTATGCTACAAAATAACATAAATCCCTTCGTAAATCAGGTTCTTGGAGAATGTTTTATCCTTTAAACAATGAGTAGAACACTTCAAATTTTTCAAAGAAACAAAAAATAAACGCTCAACCGGTTCAATCAACCTTAGGCCTTGAAATGATTTAAAACATGAAGGCTATTCACATTCATTATAGCAAGTAAATCCCAAAATTTATCGGCAGTAAGTCTGTGCCTAGTCGATATTCTCTTGACACTGATACAGAATATATGTACGTTGTAATGGTCGCACGTGAATTGGACCACTGACCTCCGACTTTAGAACAACCAACACACATGTCTGAACGCAGCAGCCCTCTGTCGCTCTGAGCGACGCCTGTCGTCGCCGTGCGTTCTGTCCCGATTTGTCGCGCTCGTTGCCTGGTGCCGAGCGACACGCGTTCCCACGTTCGCAAACTGGGACATGGAATTCACCTTACAACATTAGAATTTCAGCGTGAATATTGACTAAATAAAACTTAGTGCTTCCTTGGATACAAGATAGTTTGATCAACTTTTTAACGCTTTTAAACCATGTATGTGATGAATAATGAAAAAGGCAGTTATCTATTTAGTCTTTATCACACCCGTTTGAAATTTCGGAGTAAAGTTAGAATGAATTTTTAAGCGTATGGCAGCACATATAGGCATGAGAAACAAAACGCAGCTAATAAGCGTCTGCCGCCGCATCAAATGGCAGAGAAGCGAAGAAGCGCAACGCCAAGACCCAAGCAGGGGCAGTGAATGTGTTCATTAAGTTGCCACAGTGCGGCAGATATGCGGCCAATCCAGCTGGGAATGTCCCCGAATATGGCGCAAGCCACGGATATGAGAACATTTAAATGCTCGTTGTGGTGCCCAACAGCAGACAGATTCTAGCCTATAAAATCTGGCCGAGGGCAATAAAAGCGCGCTGTTAGAGATTATTTCGCTTCGAAGAGGACGTTTCCTCTACTGAGAACCTCCGGCCGTTCGACCGCAGATAAAAATCAGGGTTGCGCTCTTAAAGGAATGATCTCAGAGCTGTGATTTTTGTGGAACGCATGGTTCTTTTATTAATCGCTGGTGATATTCGTTTACGGTACGCTTGCGTTCAGTTCAACTGCTGATAAAATTCATGCGATATTCTGTCATGAAATACGGCAGAAAAATGATTTCGTTACCACAAAAAAATAAGTCATAGAGACGAAATAACTCTGAAAAACTCACAAATTATCAAAATCTTTAAAAAATTAACTAAATGAATGCATTGACAAGGTGGGCCGTCATTTGTCCGATGGCATCTTTAAAACTAAGCGATTCAAATATTCAGGTAATGTCTTTTTCAATAAATTTTAAATTGCAATGATGTCTTTACTAGTTCTTTTATATTGATCTTTCTAAACAGGAAGTTTACGTGAATCACCCTGTATCTGAATATTCTTTAACGATGATTTGATTCATTTCGATCCTTTTATCTTCAAAACTCGAGTAATCTCTTAATACCAGCATTTAAACAGCTGTTTGCCTAATTGGGCCGATTTAGACGCAATAAAAAAATATTTTCAGCGTTATTTTCTTGATGTGCAACCTTGGGCGCTCAGGTAAACGAGAGGCGGAATGCGTGGCATGTGGGGATGGCCGATCGTTCCCCTTGCTGTGGAACGGCGGCCCGACCCCTCTGTGTTCATGCATGAGCACAATCAAAACGTAAGAGGCGATTTGAACATTACGCGTTGAATACGCTAACTTATCATAAAGAAAACTGACAATATTTTACTCGTTTTCGAAGTTTAAATTTAATTAATATGCTTCTATATCTTAGTCTACTGCACTCCATTATAAATTTAATGGTCATACTGTTTACAGATCAAAAGTTTTCATGCAGGAGTATCAAAGTTTGTTTACGAGTACATTAGAGTGAATAGTTTTATATGTTTTAACGAAGAAACTGCGAATAGAAGATAGTTTTCTGGCTGCAACCACAAATGCAGCAAAACCTCAATTTAACACCTATAATGTATAATAATTTCAGCGAGAGATGAATATGTAGTAAATAGTTTTATAAGCTGAAGCATTAATTACGACTGCTGACACGCTTGGAAATAAGCTCGCTTTGTACTATTCCATTGTAGAGTTAAAGATGCAGCCTTTGGGCACGACTTCAATTGGCTAAGAGCGCCCATGCAGTGGGCATTTCATATAAATTAAACCGACAAATCAGAATCCTTAAATTTACTTTTAATTAAATTTAGAGGGGTATAGTTTAAAGGGAGGTATAGTTAATAACATTCACTAAAATCAGCAGAAGAAAATGATTTTCGTAACTTCATTGGCGAAGAACTGAGTAAATTTTAAATCAAGACCGACGCGCACACCAACCGGAAACTCTGCATCAGGTTCTGATTAAAGTTTAGTTACCATGCCACGGTCAGCTTAGATTTCATAGCCAAGCTGTAACTCATGCATTTGTTTGTCCTTCTTACTTGAGATTGGTGGCGTCAAACTGAAGAAGAAGGTGAAATAGTGGGAAAAAATTGCCTATCTTCTTGTTGTGTGGGAAGCATGTTTGTGTAGGTTCATGTGACAGTGACTCGTAAAATACAGGCGACGTCGATTACGCAACAAGAACCTAAATTTGTGAATAATGAAGGCAAAATCAATTGCATTTGTATCATTTGTGTAATCTGTATACTAACTTCGAAAAATGGCAAGATATTTTCTGCAAGATTTTTACCATTTTATCAAGACACCAACGCAACACGCTACGCCGTCAACATCAATTGTACAGACACTTGATATTAGCCAAATTTGATGCAATGTCACTTAGATTATTGAAGGATATGACATTTAATAGTAATATTTGAACATCATTGGTACTTTACAAGTCTACATGCTTTCAGAACTGTAGAAAGTTCGATTGGAAGAACTATTGCGCAACCGCTAATTTTCTACCGTTGTTGCATTCAAAATGCTAGCTGAATACGACACAACTGCATGCATGACAGGTGAATGAACGTTTGTGTTATGAGTATATCTCGAATAAAATGCTTTCTTTCTCACGTAAACTGCGAGCTACGCCATTTATGTTGGATATGTTCATGCTTCTGCGTCGATTACGAGGACGATAAATAAGCCGTGCACAACACGTCTACTGACGGAGCAGGTTCGTGATCTTTCTGGGCGAACAAAACGTTCAAATAAGGAAGAATTAAAGCGGAATTAGCTGTGAGTCTTAGCATTTGGTTTAGACAATTCTTAGGAAAAATCCTGATCAATTTCCACCTGTGAATTCTGATTTATGTTAATAGGCAGTGTGAAATATTAGGTGAAAATTGCCGGTGGACGACTATTCAATTACTCCTTTGCGAACAAATTTTACAGTCACAGATTTGAAGTTCTAGTCTTTAGAAAGCTATTTTAGTTACACAAGGAATATGATCGACTCAAAATTCTAGCGCTTGTTGCCGTCGACTTGTGAGATGTCGAGCATCAATGTTGTATTAATCAAGCTTTCAGATCGCGTAATTACACCATAAGAGATATTGAATAAGTCAGAAACAGTATACGTAAGTGATACAAACACGTTCATAATTTGTCGTAAAATTTCCAGCATACTTTTTGATTGGGCTTTGCAGCCTTCATGTGTTGCAGAAAACATTGAATTTTTAACTCGCATATATTGTGACAAACAAGCAATCAAGTATAAATTAATTTATCGTCAATCGAAACTCTGAATGCAAAAATTAATTACTTTTTTGCTTCGATTAATTTCGAAGCAAAACTTCAAAATTAATCAGAACAATCAATCTAGTGGACCCGATAGAGTCCACTAGATAAGACAGTAAATAGAATATGTTAAAGTAGAAAGAACTTCTACTAAATAAACAAACTAATTATTTTTCAGTAATTGAAATTAGAGTTTCTGCTAGTAGTAGTAGTAGTAGTATTTATATAAAGTACAAAATGATATACAAGCTTATTAAAAGTCCTCGAAAGGCATACAAGTTTATTGAAAGTCCTCGAATGGCAAAACCAATACCTGCATTATCTCGATTGATTTTCATGCGTCACTGCAGTCACTTCGAGCAGCAATCTTTATCTGAGAAAAAGGGATAGTGCGACTGATTCGCATGTTGCCTCACTCAACAAATTGAGCTAAAAAACATTGCATTAGGCACGATTTTTTCCAGAAGATGATAAGACACGCGAGAAATTGAACACATGATGTACATAATTTGACCTTCACTGTATATAAATAGGAGGATGATATGAGACCAGAGACATGCCGAGCGGTTCTTCATCCAAACATGAAGGCGTTGGTGTTTATAAGGTATAAGACTAATTCATTAAAATGATGTTAATGCATTCAGTAAGTGATACAAACACGTTCATAATTTGTCGTAAAATTTCCAGCATACTTTTTGATTGGGCTTTGCAGCCTTCATGTGTTGCAGAAAACATTGAATTTTTAACTCGCATATATTGTGACAAACAAGCAATCAAGTATAAATTAATTTATCGTCAATCGAAACTCTGAATGCAAAAATTAATTACTTTTTTGCTTCGATTAATTTCGAAGCAAAACTTCAAAATTAATCAGAACAATCAATCTAGTGGACCCGATAGAGTCCACTAGATAAGACAGTAAATAGAATATGTTAAAGTAGAAAGAACTTCTACTAAATAAACAAACTAATTATTTTTCAGTAATTGAAATTAGAGTTTCTGCTAGTAGTAGTAGTAGTAGTATTTATATAAAGTACAAAATGATATACAAGCTTATTAAAAGTCCTCGAAAGGCATACAAGTTTATTGAAAGTCCTCGAATGACGAAACCAATTACCTGCATTATCTCGATTGATTTTCATGCGTCACTGCAGTCACTTCGAGCAGCAATCTTTATCTGAGAAAAAGGGATAGTGCGACTGATTCGCATGTTGCCTCACTCAACAAATTGAGCTAGAAAACATTGCATTAGGCACGATTTTTTCCAGAAGATGATAAGGCACGCGAGAAATTGAACACATGATGTACAGAATTTGACCTTCACTGTATATAAATAGGAGGATGATATGATACCAGAGACATGCCGAGCGGTTCTTCATCCAAACATGAAGGCGTTGGTGTTTATAAGGTATAAGACTAATTCATTAAATGATGTTAATGCATTCCTTTCATGGGTGCGAACTTTTATTTCTGCTTAATATTCATTACAGTATTATATTTTTTGCAAATAAATTGTAACTTGGATTGATTTAAAAGGTTCCTTTAAAATATCTGATTCTTTCAGTTGATTGCTTTCCGACGTATAAAAAAGGTGTTGTTTTGCTGAAAAACTAATTTCTATGTTTCTTTGTTTCTATATTCTATCTATAATTTCTATATTTCGATAATTTCTATTTCTATATTTCTCGCATTTTATCGTCAACGAAAACGTGAAGTGACGGACGGACGGACGGACGGACGGACATGATGAGCACAATAAGGCATTTTTTCCATAAATGAGAAAATTCGCTAGAAACTTATTTTAAATATGTGCATTAAATAAATCATGTGTCTGTTTTTATACCCAAACTCAACATGTCATTAGTCTCATTTTATTCGGTTTAAGAAAATAATCCATTTCCTTCTGTTAAGACTTAAAGTTGCTCCATTATCTGAATATTAAATTTCCATGAAGCCCTCTGGGATCGCTGAGCCTCGGCTTCACACATGCGTATTCTTCATTTTGCACGATATTTGTTATTCTCTTTCGTAATTAATAAATGGCTGCATACATTTTCAGCATTTGTTTTTGGTTTCTTAAAGTAAATAAGACATGAATTCAAGGGCATTTAGCATTTCTATATTGATTGCACTTATATTCACGAATAACTTGAACTGAATATGTAGATGGTCTCCGCATCGTTTTCGTTGAAGATAAGATGAACTTACTTGGTGTTTTCTTCGCTTTAAAATTCTTGGTGAACTTGGATCTAATTTAAGCAGTACAAGCAGTAATGATTGAAGTACATGAATTCCCTGCTTTCAGCACTTCGTTGTCACAATAATTGCCCTATTTTTGTGCCACAATATTCTGCTAAAAATGCGGTTTAAATCAGGTATCTCCGCCAATGGAGCACTTGGTGATACCAGAGGGCACGTCAGAGCCAGCTTACCCGTGGTGGCAGCGCTACCAGCCCATCTCGTACAAGTTCGAGTCGCGCTCGGGCAACCACGACGAATTTGTTGACATGGTACAGAGGTGTAACGCAGTCGGAGTCCGGTGAGCACGCAGCAGGAACCGTAATAACCAAAATAACTTTAGCACTAAAACTATTTTTGAACTTGGAATAAAATATATACATGTGGATATGAATTCAGGCTTAAAGATCGCAAACGAGTATATTTATTTTATAAAAATTAAGCTCATTTAAGCACCGAACTAAGCTAATATCAATTAGCATTAAGTAAGAGCGCAACTTAGCTCATTGCAAGCTTGAAAATTTGAGCATGAACGACTGATTATGATGAATTTTTTTTCAAAAACATCCAGAATTTTTGTGGACGCAGTAGTGAACCACATGGCAGGCCTAGGCCGCAGCGGGACAGGTTCAGGAGGATCTAGTTTCGATTCAGACCAGCACGACTTCCCAGGAGTGCCGTACACCGACGTGGACTTCACACCCAGAGAAATGTGCAATTCCGGTGATGGTATGTTTATTCTTTCCAAATTATAAAAACACACACCATATAGTAAAATTATAGTTCATGTAAGAGGATGAGTGTGGCATATAGCCAAGTTTACCTAACGAAAAATAAACAAGTGAGGTAAAATACTTAGGCATTATATGCCATTATAATTTTTAACTGTATAATTGTATAGTATAAACTGTAAGGCCATGCATTATAATTTTTAACTGTATAATTTTTCTTATTGCGACCTTACTTTTTTGTGAATAACATAAATGAGGACGACGGATGAAAGTAAATGTATAGGATTCACTTGAGGCCAAATCTATAGTATTCCTTTGCGACAGATAATTTTGATATACTTTTGGTTAACCTTAGGGCCAGAAATTGATGTTGGATCTTAAGTTAATCATTGCTTATATCCAGGCAATGTGAACAACTATGGAGACCCTGAAAACGTACGCAATTGCAACCTGGTTGGTCTCACCGACCTGTACGGCGCTTCTAGTGAAGTTCGCCAAAAAGTAGCCGATTACTTCAGTTCTGCCGTGGACATCGGAGTAGCTGGCTTCCGAGTAGACGCAGCTAAACACATGTGGCCTGATGTAAGTATTAGAATATGGGATTAATTATGGTATCAAATCAACGGAGAACTAAAATTGAAGATCTTGACATTTTTACTGTACGTACTCAATTTGCGGCAATGATGGGGTGACGGACGATTATGACTCTTTGCCGACTGACGTGAACAACATTTATACGTACAATTCTGAAGCTTATTTGAACTCAAAACATATTATTTATAATACATCGATTAATTTTTATTTCTGGTCAGGATTTGAAAGCAATGATGGACTTGACGAACAACCTCAACACTGACCAAGGTTTTCCTGCCAACACTCGGCCTTTCTTCTACCACGAAGTTATTGACAGGAACGATGGTGCTGTCACGGTGCAGCAATATTACGGACTTGGTGAGACTGTAATTAAACTCCAGTGCGACAAATTATACTCCACACAGTTATGAATGCCTTTATATTTTTGAACTTTCGTGAAATCTTTTTGAAATTTTTCAGATGATTTTTCAAATTTGATTTTCGTTCGTTTAAATCTTATCTTGATTGAGATGTTTTGAGAATGATGCGGAGGGCTTTTAATGATGTACACATGTGCCTAGCTCACGGCGGTAACACAAATTAATTTTATATCAATCATATTTGATGTTTCTTAGTCACTCGTAAAAATAATTATTTCTGTAAAACCAGGTCGCATCACTGAGTTCCGCTACTGTCAGAAGATCACGTGGGGCATTGACGATTTCTCGCAGTTGTGGGGAATTTACGACCCTGGCTGGGGCATGGCAGATCCTGACAAGGCGTTCGTCTTCGTCGACAATCACGACAATCAGCGTGGGCATGGTGGCGCTGGTATGTTTCAATGTTTCAATGCAAGTCAGGAGTAGCATTTTTCCGTAGTGTAGCAAGTTTTTTCGATAACATTGGCGAGCATGAACTGAAAGAAGGAAACAATATGATTACAGTGATGCTTTATAAATCAGGTAAATGTTTTTTTGGAACACTATAAACTAAATTTTTATACTATCTGCGGATCCAAAGGCTTTCCTTGGTGTGATCAACAGTTTTCACTAACGCTACTTGTGAGGCATGGGATTTTGGATTATAATCATGAGTACTTTATTGTGTTTTCAATAACAACTCGGAGTCTTACCTCGATGTTTAGAGTTCCAGTATCATCCCGCGAAATGGTCCAAAATTGGATGTTTGATACATCATAAAATGGCGTTCACATGAATCTTGTTAATTGACAAAAGACTCAAATTTTCATTCCTATGGAACTATGAAAACTATTTTTGTTTGTTTAATAAAATGTAGAATATTGAACAGGTGATACGATCACGTACAAGCAGCCTCACAACTACCGCCTCGGAGTGGCGTTCACCCTGGCCCAGCCATATGGCTTCACAAGAATCATGTCTTCATATGACTTCGGTACCGACACTGATGTCGGCCCTCCTCACAAGTCTGACTGGAGGTAAGTTCTTGCCTCCTGAATCATGTCTTTCTACGACTTCGGTACCGACACTGATGTTGGCCTCCGCACAAGTCTGACTGGAGGTAAGTCCTTGCCTTCTGAATCATGGCCTTCTACGACTTCGGTACCGACACTGATGTTGGCCCTCCTCACAAGTCTGACTGGAGGTAAGTCCTTGCCCCAAGAATTAGGTCCTCCTAAGCCGTCGCGACCGACACCAACCACACAAGTCTGAAGTCACATGTCTGACTGAAGGTCACGCACACTTTACACTGTCCTCTATACACACAATCCGAATAACAAATTATTTATGCCTTTATCTGGGTTATTCTCAACGATTTTCGATGGCAAAAAGAGACCAGGGCTACATGCAGAGAGTGTGTCATTATGAGGACGAAATAACTTTCCCATTTTTTTCTGAGTGAAATGTAAACATGAATAATTTACATGATATAACCAGTTTTACACGAAAATACAGATGTGCCGCATGTTGCACACTGTGTATCGTGCATCATATAGGTATCGTGTCTGATACAGTGTATCGGATGATGCATTACTCTAAACTAGAAATGTTAAATTTCACCAGCACTGATGACGTGGTCGTCACTGCGGATGGCCAGTGCAGTAACGGATGGGTTTGTGAACACCGTTGGCCGTCTATCACAAAAATGGTGAGCAGCGATAAATGGACATAATTTCAATATAATTTCAAAAGCTTTACAAATGAAATTCAAATACCAGGCATCGGTTAGGACTTATGATCCAGGAATAAAACATTTCACTGAACAGTTTCTGACGTATTTAGAGTGATCAGTTATTATCAAGCTTAATCAAGAGCGTAACGTTTAATTCCGAAGGTTCGTTTCCGAAACGCCGTGGCTGGAGCGCTTACGGCAGACAACAAATATAACGACGGCAACGTTGTGGCCTTCTCGCGAGGAAACCTGGGCTTCTTCGCCATGATCAAGCAAGGCACCTTGTCTATGGTAACGTATTTAACTGCATCTTGAATGTAACGAGCTTCCCAAAATATTGCTAACCCATCTCTTAAATGTCGATCCGTGAAAAAAATGATTGATCAAATGACATTTTGATTGATTGAATGACTTGCTTCTAAATAGCATTTTGCTTGAAGACTCACGATTTTTAAATTCGTTAGAACCTGCAAACTGGAATGCCAGCTGGGACATACTCAGAGTTGGTGACATGCGCCGATGTCACGGTCAACGGAGACGGGACAGCGCAGATCACAATTACCAACGAGGAAGAACCAATCTTCGCTATCTGCCAAGGCTGCAGTTGTGATGACGCACCTATTGTGACCGCCACGCAGGGACCAGGTGAGAAACCATTTAATACCGACTTGAGTGCTTTCCAAAGCATCCGGCCCGTCCCTTTGGTGCGAGAGCGGAGGGAAGTAGGGCATAGAAGAAAGCTGAAATTTCAATTTTGGAATTTATTTGAGAATGAGGTATCGCCGGTTGAGCTTAGAAACTCTATGTTTAGAAGCGATGCATGACCAAAAGCGCTGGATTGGATGTCAATTGGCTATTTCACAAGTATCCAATAGATAGAAAAGCTTCCGACTTTGTACTATAATTATGGTTGTGAGGGTACCTGACGTTTTTCCCTCTTTAACAATGACATGATCACAAATTATTGATACAAAACCAATGTTTTTATTGTCATTGGCATATAAAAAGTTGTGGTTTTCTGTAATTACACAGCAGGTTATTACCCTATTTTTATTGTTTCTTTTCTGGTCTGTACTTATTTATCAATTTAAATATTATTCAGGTGTAAATTGGGTTTATCCGTCTTTGTATTAATATCATAAATTGATTAATTTCGTAGATATAACTCCAACCACCCCTGTGCCCACGACTCCTGGTCCCACGGAGCCCAGCATCACGGACGGAGTTCACCGAACTGTCATCTTCGTTCAGAAGCAAACAAACGACGGACAAGACCTCTTCGTCCGGGGCGGCATCGACGCAACCGTTAGGCCAGGTGGGCAATTGAACAGTTTTTAGCGAATTTTCTCGTTTATGAAAAAAATTACCTATTATGCACGTCATGCCCGTCCGTCTGTCTGTCCGGAACTTCTCGGACGGACGGACGGAAAAATGCGCTCGCAGTCACCCACTGCAGTGAGTACTGAGTTATATTTTTCTTACTAATTTAGAGAACCGAGGTGGCCCAATGGTTACAGTTCAAAGTGCAAGGATTAGTAAAGAGAAGTGTGGGTTCAATCCTAGCTACCTGCGACAGTTCTGGACAAAATTGACGAAAAGGCCGGGCGGTAATGAATTGCAGACAGGTTAACATGGCTTAATCAACGCTGGCATCGCTATTATTATATACCTATAGGAAGCGTCTTCTGACGGATGTGCTGCATTGTCGAAATAACTTATAAGAGCAATAAACGTGCGGAATATGCATAAAAATATCTAAAAAAAATAAAATAAAATAATAAATATTATTAATAAATATTAATAAAATACTATAAATAATAATAAAAATATCTAGAAACTCTATGAGATACACTTTTCCTCCGCGGCGCGCAGTGTTCGCGGAACGGTATCCCGATGGAAGAAGTTCCTTGAGATTTGACGATATCACGCGACAGGAAATTCCTCACTTGCTACTCGTAAAATGGTTTCTATAGTTTTGATTGTTTTAAACGAGTTCCGTTTTTCCCGATTTTAAGTGACTTTTGAAACGATTGGTTCATTCTAGTGGATATTTAAAACAATCGTTCGATATAACACGGAACCTCATTACTTTATTGAGTTTTCGGATTAGATGATACGTAATTTTCAAGCACAATTCATAGCCTTCAACGAAATGACTTCCTACCTCGATGGAAGACAGTAATAGTTACACGTATTTCATCAAGTGCTGCAACTATTAGGGACTCCGTCTAAAAATTTTTACGTGATGGGCGAACGAATTTTTTTGCAACAATGTGATTGAAGGCCGAGGATTAAACTTATTTGACGTAACTCAGGTTGCACCGACGACGTCACCACGGACCCATGCGCGATCGACCACACCGTGAACTCATTGGGCACCACAACGCACTACGACAAGTACAACGCATGGAGTGAAGGCGACACCAAACTTGACTGGTTCGGTGCTGAGGCTGGCCAAGGTACCTACGGGGGGCAGGCTGCATCTGGAACTCCTCTTGCCTGGACCAGCAGCAACCCCAGCAACCCGGGATACCAACCGCTCAACAAGTGAGATGCTCCAAATTAGATTTTGATATTAAATTAGAATTGCACGACTGTTATAGCATTTAATAAAAATGTCTACGTGCAGTGCATACGACTATAATCTTCATGCATGGGGATCAATGCGTGAATTCTCAATATGCGTTAATTTATTTTTAAAAACCAGATATTATAACAATCACCCAAGATTTAGCAGTGCAATTTACTACTTAATTTCCCAATTTACGTATATCTGCATGAGATGAGATATTTTCATTCATTTTTAATCGTAATCATTATGAAGGTTGAGATCCTCATTCAGTTATAATGAGACTGCGCATTAATGTAGGTACGGCGACCATTACTGGATGCTGGACGTAGACATGGACTGCAGTCAGACCGAGCAGGGCTGGTTCGAGTTGAAGGCGTTCGTCTCCAACTCTGGTGACGGATGGGAGGGCGACATTGCGCAGGTCAGTTTTGCATTACGCGCTTGTTCTGAAATTTCAATCTTATATGTCAGTGGGACATGCGAGGAAAATTATAGCTTGACAAGAATACTCATCAACAGCGCGTGATTACATGCATCTACGTTAACGTCAGGAATGGATTGTTTTTCAGATGAGTTCAACAATTCATGAAATAGCTTTGAATAATGATATACGTTGACAAATGATATTCTTTGAGTATAAGATACGTTGAAAAATTATATATTCTCAGTAATGAATGCATTACGCGGCGATTGCATTATAGGCTGGCAACTGCAAGGGCGCGGCAGGCGGCAGTGCTCCGTATGCTACGAAGAACCACGTCGGCCGCTGCGGGTACCTCAACGTCTTCAGTTTCGACTCGGGCTCTTGCACCGTCGAAATATTGGCTTAATTCTTGGAAATTTTCCACGTTGTAGCAATCAACAATAAAGTATACACAAAATTAAAAATTTTTTTCAATGTCTTCCCCCTTAAAAAGATTAGTTGATTTGTTCCACATTGTAATGAAACCAATTTCTTTCACATAATCTAGCGCATGTTCACATCATTAGTGATAAGAGGTTAAGAAGTGGAGGTTTATTGTCCGAGTATATATACTTCCGAGGTAGATGACTAGGACGAACACAAGACAAATACACGCAGAGATTCGCAGTGCTTATGAAGCGCAAGATCCCAGTATCATCAGAGTATGAAAAGTAAGCAAAGGCACTTTCTTATATCAATACAACTTAAGGAAGACCGTCTTGGCGCGTTGAATTCTCTCCATTTACAGACAGAAGAAATTCATAACATTTTTCATAATAACTCCATTCATATCAAAGGCGAATCTCTAATATTTTATAATTAATATTGAACAGAGATTTAAATTAATTTTATTTTAATTTAAAACACCATCTGAAATTTCAGGCAACTTTTATCATCCTTCATTTGGCAATGACTTAGAACTTGAATGCCGGGAGAAAGCAACACATTATGAAGATAATTGTTCTTTGATCTGCTTCATTGTACAGGGGAATTTGTGAACTGAAATTCCGCTCTACATTTTCGAGTTACGACACCAAAGGGACGGGCCACAACTACATCGGGGTTAACACATAGGCAGAAATTCAAGTAAAATAGAATTTTCATTGAATATGAATCAACACACGAAAAAAGTTTGTCATATACGAAACAAAAATAGTTTGATATTCGGTGGAACTAAAATGAAAACCACTACCATGAAAGTTGAATGTTTCTATGGAAACAATACTAAGAAAATTATACGTGCAATCGACAAAACTTCCCGCGTGATAGCGAGCAGCAAATAAAAGCGAGCGTTGCATACTCAGATGAACAGCAACAAAAGCTATTACACAGACCATAAACAAATAACGGGGAACATGAACGTAGTCAGACGGATACCAATGAGATTTAAAAATGTGAACAGCATTAAACTTATGTGTATAAGATAAAAAGAGCCGCACTGTTGATAAGTTGCCGTGGAGACTCCGAGAAGAAACTACTGTCTTAACGCTTAGGTTACGTCTTAACTAATATGAATTCTAACAATTAATAAATATAAAGTACTATATATGACAATACTGACGCGAATAGTCAAGGAATGGAAGACATATCACAGACACCACTGACTCGCACATGCATCATTGACCAATGATTATAGATTTTAACCCAAAACTAGTAGCACTATTATGGAAGAAGCATCACACGAAGACAATAACGTCGTTACAAATAATTCATTAATACGTATAATCAAGGCCAGAAGTCACTAATGTCACAAATATGTTCAAACAAATGCACTCTAAAACTGCAACATTATCATGCCTGAGCCAGCCAAGCATCGCACCCGAAAAAAGCCACATTAAACACCAGCTTAAGTCCGGCTAAAACTTGATACGACGAAACTTCCATTTTCTGTAAAGGTAAAATCTAAAACTTAAGGACTAAACTGATGATTCATCGCAAGTGCCAACAGCAATGAAGCAATCTCCACTAGTCAGCACCAACAATGAGACAAACACCATCACAGCCCTGCAGGTTAAAATGCACGCAATATCTTTGTACGGAAGCGATGATGACGAGAAGCTCGATAAAAGATCTCTTGCACGGCCAAATGAATTCCTAGGCCAAACTAAACTAAAACATTATTAGATAAACTGATTAAACTTGACTAAGCAACCTAAACTAAAGAAAATTACAGGAACAACACACCACAAGGAAAAAGTGCCCAACAATGAAAACTGTCAAAACATAAACACGTCTGAACATAATTAAAGCAATCGCCAAATTGACATTTTTTAACCAATGGTAATTCTTGAACAAATCATCGAAAAGCTAGAGAGCAATGAAATACATGTGTGTCTCGGAGTGAACAAGATTAACAGATTTACATCGTCCATTAAATTAACTTATAAAATACTTGGCTGATGTTTGACGCTAAAAAGGCTAATAATAAAAAGAACTCAAGTGAACAGAGAGACGATTTATACACATTGGCGAAGTTTAAGACTTAGTGGGCAACAGAATCTCGAAACTATAATCATTTCATTCACTAAATACTTCAGCTGCAGCGATGGTATCACGACACGCATTATCATTCCATTGATTGAATGCATCATTTAGCTGCAGCGATATCATGAGAGGAAGAGGTGCATTACCATCTGGGACAAGCTTTCCATTTGTTCACAGATTACATGGCAAGTCTTTTCATTTCCAAAAAATCTCCCTAAGGCTGACATTTTCCTTCTACAGCTTCCAAGCTCTGTTGAAAAACTTCCTGCTCCTAAAGTAGGAAAAATTAGCCGAAAGGTCAAAATTAACTTCTTGAAAATGCATTCAAACGACAAGTAGAACTTCATGTTCGTTGCTATTGCTCGTTTGTTCAACAATTAAAGATACTAAGAAGATAATAGAACAAAAAACTACGCGGAATGATGAGGAATGGATGAGTTGACGAGATATCAAATCGACGACTAAACGTTGAAGGAATATACATCAGTCATTTGTTCATAAAACGACAGATTCAATGCAAGTGGACTTTCTTGATCCCGAGAATTCCTCTAACCTCGGTTTATCATAACCTGCCTGAGATCGTTTTTGTACCGTTAAGAAGAAAATATATTTTTTAGACAGATCAATTCATGCTGCATGAGAGCAATAATCAACTTAATGAATGATGTTTCTAGAAACCGTTGATATACTCGTGTGATTTCTCATCGGTTGGAACAACTTCAGTCGTGTTGAGCGTTGCTATAAAATCAAGCGGGGTTATATTTGAAGCCATGCAAGATATATAGCGCTAGTCTCGTCGTTCATAAATTGCTTAGCTAGTTATAAAATGGTAATGAGTTCCAGTAATAACTGAAATGTCATCCATAAATAAAGCCTGACTCGAGGCTCCCGATGACAGAAAGGAATCAGTCTTCCGTCGCTGTAAGAAAGACACATTGTCAATACCGCAAAGTTTGCACAGAATTCGAACTCATAACATGGCGTTTCATATCGAACTCAAAAACATTATAGTTTCCTTAGATCTTCGACTGTTTCAAGTTCGGAGGTGGAAGTATTGAGTTCGAACTCAAGAACATGATGGTTTCATCAGATATTGGTAAGTTCAAATATCTGAAGACGAGATGGGTCGCTGCAAAGGTGGGAAGCGAAGGTCGTGTTGGAGGGCGGCGAGGACGCGTTTGTAGCGATGCTTGGCTTGTTTCTTCCCTCGTATGCGCTGGAAAAGTCGTTTAAGGAGAGCGCTGCTTCCCACTGTGTCCTGTTGCAGTTAAAAATATGTCAAAGCCAAAAAAACGGTAGAGAAATTGATCAGGTTTGTTAATGTCTTGAAATAGTGTAATTGTAATGAATTCAGGTAAACGAGCAAATCAGATTAATGAGAAATAATTGTTTCAGAGCAGTTAAATCGCCAAGACGGACGTCTTACAGGCAAAACGCATGAGCCTTGGTGAACTTGGCATTAATTATTCAGTTGACCAGAAAAGCTTGTGGAAAATTAAAGCCATAAAATCGGAGGAACAATCCAGTGGAATGATAACCATGCATGCTCAGTCGATCTTATATGATAAGAACGCCTCTGTATTGTCGAGTAACAAGTTGTTGCAGGTCTCACGTCAATAAGCCAAGCTATGAGCATGTGCATCACAGCCAACATGATGAGGGTGCCCCGGAAGATCCAGAAGACGCGCGGTTCGGAGCTGGTCATCTCACTGGCCATGAGGAGCACGGAGCACCAGGGGCCGGGGTACAGCAGCATCACCAGCGACAACGCTCCGAACACAACCAACGACAGCATCAACCATCCTGGCATGAGACACAGTGAGTGACAGTAAGTGGTTATAGACACGGTGACTGCAAGTGATTGAAGGACACAGTGAGTGACAGTGAGTGTAAACAAACTGAGTGGAAATAACAACGTATTTTTTTCCAGGGTAAAACCATGTCAACCTGCCACAAACCTAAGCCGCCAGTCAATGATCGGATTGTAACAGACGAACTTGAGGATTCAGTTTCGAGCTGTGCGTGAATATGCACAAAGGAATGACCACACTTTCCATTGTTTTTACTTGCTTTCGCCAATTCAAATCAAAAAATGTCAGGTGAAAACTTCGAGACTATTTTAAATTAAATTATTTCACATCGATATCATTCAAATAGAATCTTAGCCGCGAGTAGTCGATAAGTGAATGAACTTTATTCCTTGATACATCGAGGCTCTGTCAAATACATTACTTTGAAATGATAAAATAATTAGAAGTTGTAGCGCACTGACCGTTATAGTAGATGGGACGAGCGTAAGGCATGGCAGGAGCGTAGACGATGGCGAGGGCGATGTACTGTACACCAGACATCAGGAACAGAACTGTCGCCTCCCAGCTCACGTCTCCTGCTCCTCCGGCGTCTCCGCCAGCTTCGTTTGTGTTCGCAATAAACCTGAACAAAATTTAGGTGCATGAATAAATCTTTGGTATAGTTAGGGAAAGTTTAAAATAATTTATATTTAAAAAAGTATTGTTTGTTTTCTCAATGAGTGGCACGAAATTATCAATATACAGCATTCTCTAGTCTTCAATCAAACTTGCATAAAGGGATAAACCATTGCAACTGTCGTCTAATTCAGGCAGCTAAAAGAAGATTGCAGGTGAAAAACGTGATCAAATTAGCCTTTTAAACTTGATCGTGGGTGAAAACTAGTATCTACTTGGAATCACTGTAATAAGGTGGGTGGTTAAATAGCTGCTGCACGCGGACTTGGCAGTCAATGAAAGACTTGCTTCATATTCCTGCCATAGTTCTAGCTCGTCGCCATACAAACACATTAACACATTACAAACACTTTCCATGTCATTTTTGAAAAACCTAAGAACATATTGGGTATGAACTAAACAGTGAAATATTATTTATGCGCGACCATGGCAGAATTTTATCTGGAATATATCTCTTCACAAAAAAATGTTAGCTCTGTCGTTGATGTTTTATTGGAGGCTATTCCACATGTTGGGCATTTTCTACACACCCGAGGTTATTAGGGTTATTCTTCACACTAACGTGCAAACATCCCAGCGATTCTTCCCTGTAAATCAGAGACTGGAGAACGAAATCAAAATGACAATTAAGAAAACAACATTTCCTTTTAAAAAAACCTGTTAATTATCACGAAAGTAATAGCAGGTGATTTTCAAGCGCTTCAGAAAGTTAAAGCTTGTCAAGTAAGAAGCTTGTTGAAAAAAAAGCTTGTCGAGAAAGACATGCGTGACCATCTTATGTTGAACTTTGAAATAGAACAAATAGCTGGAACTATTCCTCACCAAGGTTGAGAAGCAAGGTAGTAATAGGGAGCCACTTGGCCACCAATGACGGCCAGCACCTGCAGCAGCACAGTGAAGAGGTTCAGGGGACTTAGCAGGCTACTGCTTGGACGCTCCCTCACCAGCGAACTGCACAACCGCAAACCTCAGTATTAACAACTCAACTAATCAGCGTGGAAATACTTCATTAAAAATTTCAATTTATATTTAAAAATAAAAAATTATTAAAATTATAGTCATATCTTGAGACTTAAATTATTTAAATATTTTGAACCAGCTGTAACTACTGGATATGATTCATAATTACTGTTTATATAGTCAGAAGTTCACTGAAAAAACTTCCAAGAAGTTACAGAAAACTTCCATGGTCTCATTGAGATAATTGACTCACTGAGATGCAGCAGAGTAGCCCATGAACAGCGCCATGGACGTTACGATGCCCAGGTCGATGTACAAAAATTGAGGGTCGCTCAAGTTTGTGTGGAACTGAGGGAAAAATTTTATTCGCCATAGAAAATATATTTAGTTGATCGATGGAAAAAGTGGCAGACTAGCCAAAACAAAAACTCACCCAACTCGTCAAAATAATTGACTCTCACTGTGTGAAAACTCATGGTAAGACAACAGACAAGGAATTCAGAAATGGAAATTGTTCGAATAAATTCAACAGTAAAATGTCAAAACTTTCAAATTATAGCTGAAACCAAAATAGTGGGACTCATACTTCTGTACATAGTTTCTCATGAAAAAATTACATTCCGAAAAATAGTTTTCGATGAAATAAATGATTTTTTTTTAACATTAAATAAATTAAAACTCGAAACAATTTACCACGAAGCAGAGAAAAAGCTGTGGAACACCAACAGCGTGAAAACTCCTTAGAAATTACAAACATGATAACCAAGACTTAAGATGAGAAAAATGAGAACAGTCACAAACTGTGTGATGCTGTACAGCATCACCAAACTGTGATGACCGTCACTTACTGTGTACAGCATAAGCACAGTCACGAACTATGTGATGCTGCACAGCATCACCAAACTGTGATGACCATCACTCACTACCTGCTGTACAGCATCACTACCATCACTCACCGTGTACAGCATGAGCACAGTCACGAACTGTATGATGCTGTACAGCATCACTACCATCACTCACCGTGTACAGCATGAGCACAGTCACGAACTGTATGATGCTGTAGAGCGCCATGAACTTGAAGACGCCGAAGCTGGTGACGAGGGCGGCTCTGCCCTCCTTGATAAGACGCGGCACGCACGACACGTCGGCGACGTTCGAAGTGAAGGGCGCCGCGACGCTCGCCTCGGCCTCCGACAGCGAGATGCCCACGTGCGCCGCCTTCAGCGCCTGCGTATAGGGGGGAGCTTAGGAGGCCGTGTGGCGGGGGCGTTGAGATACGGAGGGTAATGAGTTCGAGGAACAAATCTGAGATACAACTACGAGGTAATGAGGCAGATATAATTTGAGATATGCAAGCAAAGGCTAATTAAGGGTAATGAGAAAAGGATAATTCGAGACACTCAATAAAAGGCTATTAGGGGCAATAGGTGATAAGACAGATGTAAATTGAAGGTAATAAGACAGGGGTAAATTACAAGTGATGAGACAGAGGTAAATTGAAGGTAATGAGAAAGTAAATTATATATAATGATACAGAGGTAAATTGGGTATGGAATGAGACCAAGGTATATTGGAGGTAATGAGAAATCATTGAGCAAATAACATGACACGTGGTGAACATATCCTGGCATACCCCGCAGTCGTTGGCACCGTCCCCACACATGCAGACCACGTAGTTAAGGCCCATGAGCGTCTCCACGAGCTGCGTCTTCTGGTCGGGCGACATCCTGCCGAACACCGCACCGCGCACACAAACAGCGTCCACCTAACACAGTAGTCGTCATAAATTTAATTCAACTCAGTAATATAGAACGATTAATTATAGTACTAAAACCAATGATATATGGCCAAAAATTGCGTATACTATATCAGAGAATAAAATAACTAAAATGTAAAATAACTAGTGACCAGCGCACTCAAAGCCTACTATGCTACTAACATCGCTGCATCCACCCTTTGTAAACAGTGTTCAAAGAATGATATTTGATGTGATTATATTCCAATGTATGCTATTTGTAAGCATCACTTAGACCTCAAACTAAATTACAAATAAAAACTTACTATCTCCCCAATTGATTAAAAAATATGTACCGATATAAACGAATACATTTTCAACTTACTATCTAAAAATACCGACCCTAGGTTTTAACAGTGAAGAAAAAAAAAATTTTGAGGCAAGAATATTGTTATGATATCCGGCACTTTCTGTATTCGAGAAAGTGTATTCGAATTCCATATTGTGGGAAATCTCAAGACAACAGCTCCAAGTAGCTGATATTTTTCATTCTCAAGACAACAGCTCCAAGTAGCTAATGTTTTTCATTCTCAAGACAACAGCTCCACGTAGCTAATGTTTTTCATTCTCAAGACAACAGCTCCACGTAGCTAATGTTTTTCATTCTCAAGACAACAGCTCCACGTAGCTAATATATTTAGATTATCAGTTAATTTTCATAACACTACATTCAAGGACTCGCATATTGAGGGAAGTGTTGGCACAAGAGCTTCCAGTTGCTGCCGCTGATGGCGATGTGGTAGCGCTGCAGCAGCTCCACGGAGTCTTCGCCAGGCGTGATGGTCACAGCGAGGTTGTCGGGGTTGTTCTGTGGTCAAGTCGATCGTTATAACAACAGTGATGTAGTCGATTGTTACAACAACTGTGATGCAGTGGATCGTTATAACAACTGTGATGTAGTCGATTGTTAGAAAAAAAGGTTTCACTTCAGAACACATTTAAGTTAAAACTAATTCGTAGTTTGTTAATTGCGATTTTATTCATCACTGAATCTAGATATCCAAACGACAGTTGACCCCATCAACCTAAGCAAGTATCTTCAAACCGTTAATGTACTAAGCGGAACACATTTCAACGGACAATCCTCCGTGGCGGAGGATTGTGATTATGAATCATAATGATTTTTTAATCATACGATTTTTCTTATTTAGAAATAAGTTGAAAATACCGTATAGAAAAGAATATTAGCTCATACTTCACGAGTAATTCTTAGTTTCAACGCATCTACAAGACTGGCAGCAAAGGCCTGCTACTGCAGCCGGCAGGGCGTTGTCAATAATTGGAGAATACCGAGTAGAAAAAGTATTTGGACTCATGAGTAATTCTTGAAGTTTTTCAAGTTGAAATAGGACTGTGAGCAAAGACCTGCTGCTGGAGTGTGGCCGTGAGCAAGGCAGGACGGGGCTGGTCGCCGCCACAGGGAGGCGTCACGGAGAGCAGCAGGACGGGGTCGTGGGGCGGCAGCATGCCGCACTCCCTCGCCACGCTCACGCCCGTCAATACGTTGTCTCCTGCATAAAATTTATTTTCGTTTTTATTTCAGAAAAAGAAAAATATAGCTCAAACATACTAAATAGGCAGTAATAATAATTGTTAATAACTGAATACTTAAAAAAATGAATATAAATAAATTTATTAATGATATTTGTCCCCGAGGTACGATATGCTCGAAGTTTATAAGGTCTCTCAGACAATCGTTTGATAATAATACCCTGTACACGCAGTGAGATGTTTGGGAGCTTGTCTAAATAGCGATGCAAATTTTTCCTTGTGTCCTGACTCAGTTCGGCCCAGCTATACGGCGCATTCAGTGCCACTTCTGCATGTGCTCTGGGGAATAAAGTATATCACTATTTGTATAATATGACCAATGTCTTTTTTCTCTCAGTGTCACGGCTGACTGACCGGTGGCCATGACAGGACGGATGTCAGCGTTGACGAGCTCGGAGACGGCGGCGGTGGTGGCGGGCTTGAGGGGGTTCTGCAGCACCAGCAGCCCTAGGAACGTCAGGTCGCGCTCCAGCTGTTGGCACGCACTCATTATTAGTGAGGTCCCAGAGACTGGGTAATGAGGTGTCTTAGACCCAATTGCGTACAGTGAATTATTAACATTTATATATTATTATTATTGTTGTTATTATTGGAGTAATAATTAATAAAATATTGATAATAATAATATTATTATTATTATAAAGAGCAAAATCACGTAGGCAGCGACAGATAAGCAGGGATATAGGATTTAATTACGTACAGTGGATAAGTGTACGATAAATACTACTAAGAGTATTATCACGCAACATCGTCTTGTCAAGAAGGCCTCTAAGGCCGCGCTGCGACGGTCAACGATGCAGCGGCTGATCAATAGGATTACTGAACGACCGATCATCGTGTTACAGTGACTGCACGGTCATAAGGCCTTGATGGTGCACTAGCATGCACTGTTTATTTATTTATCAATACTTCTATGTTCACACATATTCAATGGAATAGAAAGCCAAGATGAGGACAATGCCGATTTCACTAATTCTATCTTCTTAACGATTCCAATAATATACGATTTGGGCAATGATGTTTAAGCTACAATGTTTGTAGCTAAAAAATGGACGATTTAGGCGATAATGAATAAGGTAGAATGTACGTAGCTCAAAAATGTAAGATTTGGAAGCTGTGAGAAGTGAAATTATTCGAGTTAAATAAGCATATCACCTTCTCTCGAGGGGCTTTCTGAGCAGCTTTCCAGGTAAGTCTCTGCGGGAGAGCTCTGTGAGCGACGGCGATCACTCTGTAGCCCCGCACGGTGTAGCTCTCCAGCACGCTCGCCAGGTTCTCGGGGACTGCGTTACAAGTAACAAGATAATTGCTGTAATAATTATACTGCTCTGTAATAATTACTGAATTACACGTGAACAAAATTCAAGAAGTTATATAATTATTACCGAGTCGCAAGTTAACACAATAAAAATTCTTTTATCAAGTGTTATTCACCATCGTGAATAAATGATTCAATACGGTATATTGAGATTAAGAAATAAAACAAGATTAATCAAGTCTAAAATAACACAAAAATAATATTTATAGACTAAATTAAATGAAGCCAAAAAGGGTTGATGAAACCGTCAAGATTTGAAAGCTGTAAGCAAATGAAACGCATAACAGGAAATAGAGACTGAATAAAAGATATTTCAAACAAATAAAATGGAACAAAAAACGTTCTTAAAAACATCTTGTGAAATACCTCGATCAAAAATTATCTCAACGTATTCAATTCAAAATCAACGTTTTCAACGTCCTATGCCACAAGGCAAATCCAAACCCATTTCCATTGAAGGTAAAAATAGCCGTATTAGCATAATTTTGAGCATTACCTGTACTAGGGTTGGCGAGACGTGCGATGACTTCAGGCGCGCCTTTAGCGAAGAGTTCCATGGCAGGAGCGCCAAGTCTGCGCACCACAACACTCATACGCTGCACCTCGCTGCTGAACGCAAGCACCCGCACAACCCCCACCTCCAGCGGCATCTGCGTACATGACAAACACGGCATGTTCGTTTATGGCGTCGTATATACTAATACAAATATATACGAGTTCGCAAATCCGTAAACTAATTGCTGACGGCTTTCGAAGCTGAACACACCAATCAAAGAAGAGAAATTGGCCGTTAAATGTGCTTATATTGCTACGCGAATTTAAGCGAGTTTTCATAGTACAGCTCTAGGTCACCTAGCGTCATGTCTTACAGAGATCGTCCACCTTTAACACTTCAGGTGCCCTTGAGGTTTAAAGGGCAATTTCAGCACCAATTTATTACCCGCATCAGCACTGCGACCAAGTGACAAGTGATTGCACTATCTATTTCATTTGCATTTTTCATTATTTTGTGAGCATTTTTTAATGTTTTGTCGGCTAGAAATGGATCTAGGTTGTGCTGACAGAACCTATGCCTATGTGAACGATTCAGTTCATACTCAATTATAATATAACACTGGATAAATTGTTTTCCAATATAAACAAAAAGCATTTTAATAAGTAAAAAGAGGAGTAGGAGTAGACTCCAGACAAGATGCAAAGCTAAAGCTAAGCACGACATGACACAAGCAGACGAGAATCATGCAGACATACAAAGACATAGTTCAAAGATGCAAGGAATATAGAGTGAGCATGTAAGACGCGCTCAGCTACGGCGGTCTCGAGGCCTGCCTCCGTCACCTCGACGAGCACCTCGACCGAGGGGCCGAGTTTCGTGCCACAGAAGTCATCGCCGTCAGGTAAGCTCATGCACTTCAACAAGATTATTCGTTCCGTTATACTTCTCGCATTATTTAAATAAAGCCTCAAAGTAATTTAGATATAATTTGAAGTAAAATAAATACAACATTTTTAAGTCGAAGCTGAGAAAGCTTTGAGAGAAACTTTCAGTATTTTAACTGAAAACGTAGTTCTTCGCAAAAAATAGCAGCATAGAGAAGCAACGTGTAGCAATTGAATCAAAACATGCAACAACTAATTAATAAATAACATTCAAATTGGATTGCAAAAACTATCAATATTGATATGATGCTTGAATCAAAAAATACATTGAATCGAAAGAAGTCAATAGTGAAGTATAACACACGTCACATTCGTAACTTGCATTAGAACACAGAGGAAACAAATTAAGCATTTTTAGAAGATAAATCAAGCAACACTTCAGAATGTCAAAAATTGCAACACTGGATGCGAAAAAGTATAAGCCTATTAAAATTTACAAATATTCAATCATACTCAAACTCAGTAAAGAAGACCATAAATAAAGAATAAAAAAGTTTAACGAACGCCAAATTTGAAAGAGAAAATTTATAATGAAGCCGCACAAGCACGTACAGAAGGGAGTAACAGTAAAGTAATGCACAATATTAAACGCTTCCGTGCATAATGCATATCATATCAGACTTGAATAGGATGTATGCAAATTACTGCCTATTAGAAATAGGCCAGTACAGCGAACAGAATTAGTCACGAGTCTCGAGGGCAGACGCAGTACGAGTATGAGTTACTAAAATAGCCACATATTTCTTTACAACACGAGCCAGCAGCACAGCCAACCTACCATCAAACCAACTATTAAATAAAGAATCGAGAAACACAATTTCTAAGTAGAGGTCGACATGAATAACTCCCAACACAGATTTAAATATTCGGTTAGACATATAACATCACTTGACGCGAAAATATTGTTATATATATTGCTTGGGTCCGGAAGAAGGGTTCTGACGCTTTTAGAGTTGCAACCTCAATAACAACAGACCTGCCAGCATTATAACTTCAAGCCAACGTCCACGGAGGAGGTGAGACGAGCCTTACAATAAATAAACCCGACATGCAATAAAGAAAATATAAAGCAAGCAATTTTTTGATGATGAGTTCAAGTGCAAAAAAGTTCCAGACAAATTAAGACCAAACAAGTGATGAAGGATATAATTTAAATGAGAAATGTGGGGCGCAACACACATAATACGAAGGGGAAGACGCGCAACACGAGGGGGAAGACGCGCAACGCAAGCGCAAGAAACGAGAGAAGAAGTGCAGCCCCCACGCAACACGAGGGGGATGAAGCGCAACACGAGGGGGAAAAAAGCGCAACACACGCACAAACGCAAGGGGGATGAAGCGCAACGCAAGCACAACATGAGGAGGAAGAAGTGCAGCACACGCGTATCACGAGGGGCAAAAGCGCAACACACGCGCTGAATAAATAATTTAACAATGCCAGGGTTTCATCAACACACGAAATATATAGGCAAGATATTCAAATCACCATAGAAAGATAGAGCAAATAAAATAAAGAATCGAAAAAGCATGCAAAATAAGCATATTTTAACATTGCTACTTTCAACTCACGGAATACCTACCCGTCATAAATGTACGTGTCAATGATTTTGGCACATAGACAGGTAACACAGGCACTTACTTTGTTCGGTCATACCGATCTGAACTCAAACGAAATCCAATTCGAAAAAAACTACTAAAATCCCAATAGAAAAAAGAAGAATAATCTACTTGATCGAACTCGTTAGACACAGCATTCAGAAAAGATGAAAATAATTTGTATAAGAGCACATATAAATTAGTTTTAGATGGCAGAATTTACTTGTTTATACACGTGCGATTGATGACCAGAGAATTCGTTGATTTATATTATCAATGATACTGACAGAAAGACAGGTAACACGGAATACATATAAATGCATATCCGACTTACTTGCTCCGACATGGGACCAGAGGGGACAGCACAAGACGGCAAGTCATCGTCACTGGATAAGCTTGACTGATCACTCGCCGAGTCCTGCAATACGTGGGACTCGTAGAGACTCTTGGCAGGAGCCACGAGGAACTCTGTGTTGTTAGCTGACGAGCTTCCTGGACTTTCATGAGCACCACGCAGCACAGAAACGTCCCCTTCAGGTGCACAACTATCGTCTTTTTCGGTAGTCCGGTTTTGTCCATGTGCCAATAGCGACGGTGTTTTGATTTGTGTTGTGTCCGGTATTTGAACATCGCCTGGAGATTCGTTATTTCCATTGGCAGTGAGTGCAGATTCAGTACTCGGCAACAGAGATTTGTCACTTCGATGAGCGGGTTTCAGTAGTTTATTGGTTGGCGCTTCAGGATTGGAAGAACTTTCTCTTGGAATTAATATTTCAGAAGACGTTGGCTCTTGCAGGAATGGTAGCGGCACAGAAATGTTGTCCCTGGCATTGTCAGGAGGTCGAACGACTGTCAGCACGAGGCTGTTATAGCCTCCCTCAGCAGGCTCATCTAAGACCTGAAGAGGAATATTTTAGCAAAATCTAAACCACACAAACAACCCCTAAATTTCTTCACAAGTCTGTGCAGTGCTAACCGAAATGCATACCCTTGGTGCGGAAACGAAGGTACTTAGTTGCATAGGTACATAGTAATATGCCCGAAATAATGCTTAGCAGTAAGCAAAACGTATGTACACGATTTCATAAAAGAATTCAGAAATAAATGCATTCACAACACCATCAACATCATACACCCAAGCCAAGATTCAAGCCTGCATGAATATTATTAAATTATTTCATACTGGTGAGCAGCAGTTATTTTTTATGAATATGCGTGTGAAGCCCGGAGAGTGAAAGCGGTTCACTGCAAATTGAGCAGCAAGCAGACTCAGCGAATAACTCATTTTGACTCAAAAGCATATCGAAAACCTATTGAGTTTAAGAGTTATAAAAGAAGTTTGCGTTTATACCCAGACCTAAAAAATGAACACCGCAAATGCCCCAATGTAATTAAACCATATAACCAATAAACTGCAAACAAATTAAATTCAACACAGAGAGTTTTCTCATATACATACATCAGTGTATCATCGATACATTGATTTCCGAATATCGACCAAAAACTGAGCCAGCACCGAACTACCATATTGCCAACGCTAAATAATTGAGGTTTTCAAAGTCCTCTAATAAGTAAATCTATAAAACTAACAACATAATTACGAGTTGAAATTACAGAATAACACAACTGATTTATTACAAGAATACAGCCAAAACCATTCTTAAAAAAATAACCTCGGCCAACGACAAACAATCTCATGAAACTCATAAAATAGGTACCGTACGTACGTAACAAACCTCAATTTCCGGTCTTCAACAATAATTGTATTGAACATTTTTGTTATTATGTGTTCATACGTAGAGCCTAATTACCCTGAGTTTGAGTAAAAATCTACGGAGAATCGAAAGTAGTCAGCACCGAATCGACCGCAGTTAGAACCAAATGATCGAAAATCAATACGAGCCGAGAAATTTAGCACCGAGAGAAAAAACAACAATTAAGCTGGAATACAGAAGGGTTTCATTTGCATTTGAAGAAGTGACCCTAATACCCAGGATGGTGAACGCTTATTTCGAGCAAGCAAAGGAGGATAGTTGGATGAATAGTTGGTATTGGCTTACCCAGTTGGTGGCTTTAAACATTTTGATGTCCATGGGATCACCGATGAGTTTGCCGAAGACATAAGTGAGGTCGTGGCACGTAGCGAGCGCCATCATGAACCTCGAGTCATGTGACAAGCTCAGAACGGGACGAACGTTGGGCCACAGAAAACATTTCTTCGTATTATCTCCAGTCTCTGGATCAATCTCGGCTTCTGGTTCGGTAGCTTTTATTGCGTCAGGTTTGGTGGAATCAGCGCCCACTACTCCGTGTATTTCCAAACTATCTTCAGTCAAGGTGCCAGTCTGACATGAAAAATCTGATTAACATAGGAAGTGGTCACTTCCAAACTTTACAGATGACATAAGATTAACGTCCAAGTTCATCATTGCTTCCCCGAACTAACACTCACTAAAGCACCAGTCTGAATACCACTGCCATCGAACGAATAAATAAACTACATGAACTACAAAATGGAGGCATGTGCTCAATTCTCTGCGGAAACCTCGGTTTACTTTACTCCAAATATCTTAGCTAGACTGACCAGTTTTCTGAGAGACGGGGGAATTCATTAAGATACCTTACCGAAAACGAATTAAAAACTACAACGTGGATGCATGCGCCAGATTTTCTAACCATGGCAGAGATAAATACAGATTAATGTATTTAATACCTTACCGAAAACGAATATAAACTACAAAGTGGATGCATGTGCTAAATTTTTTAACCATGGCAGAGATAAATACAGATTGATGCATCAATACCTTATCGAATACCTTTAAAAACTACAATGTGAATGCATGTGCTAATTTTTCAAACCATGGCAGAGATAAATACAGATTGATGTATTTAATACCTTATCGAATACGACGAGCTTGAGTTTGCCAGCGACGTTGATGCGAGGAGGACTGATGCAGAAAATATTGCTGCGGTGCAGCCGCTGCTGCGCGTAGTAAGTGCCGACTGTCATGGCAGCAGGCAGGGCGGGCGGCACTACGATCGTGACCAGGTCCAGAGACCGCACTGCCATGGCCGTCCAGCCCAGCTACACAAGCAATATAGTAGTAGTCTAATACAATAGTCAAGAATTAATTGTTCTAACATTCACCAACATTCTAATACAATAGCTAAGAATTAATTGTTGTAACATTCAACAACATTCTAATACAATAGCCAAGAATCGATTGTTCTAACCAAGCTAGAAAGGCAATATCAGAGTATGTTAGTACAATATTCAACAATTGTTCTTACCTAGCTAAACAGGCAATATCCTTTATTATTAATACAATATAAAAGAATTAATTGTTCAACAAACACAGAGCAATGCAACCGTGGCAGTGATATTATAACCACGCTGCACTCACTAAGCATATCAACACGTGTGTCAGAAATATTCACAACGACGAAATAATCTTTCTAAACAGAATACCTTTTCCCTCATTATTAATAACTTATCTTCAATTAAAATCTAAAAAAATATCTCTTGGACTAAATAACTAAACAAACTGTCTCACCAACTCGTATAACTAAACAAACTGTTTCACCAACTCGTATAACTAAACAAACTGCCTCACCAGCTCAAATAACTAAACAAACTGTATTTCCAACTACGTATTATAACTACACAAACTTTCTCACCAACTATTATAGCTAAACAAACTGTATCACCAACTCGTATAACTAAACTGAATGTTTCACCAACTCGTATAACTAAACAAACTGTCTTACCAACTCGCATAACTAAACAAAGTGTCTCACCAACTATTATAACTAAACAAACTGTATCACCAACTCGTATAGCTAAACAGAATGTCTGACCCCTCTAATGAAGTACAAATAACAAGTGTATGCCATGCCGGCGAGTGCGATGCAGAAGAGCACGCCGATGAACTTCATGGAGTCCTGGTAGAACTGGAACAGCACAGGCTTGGGGAACATGATGGACCGCACCAGCTGCCCCTTGGTGGTGCTGAACCCCGTGCGCACCACCACAGCGCGAACCTGGCCGTACAAAAATAATTCCATTAACATATACATGGTTATATATACATGGTTATTTACATGGTTATTTGTCGAGATAAATATATATACATGGTTATTTGTCGAGATAAATTGTCCTTTAGGTAAGGTAGAGTTTAGAACATTATGCTGATAATATCAGTTAAAAATTCACAGTATGATTCACAAAACAATTCCATCAAGATACATAAATACGAGGTAATTTAGTGAGATCAATTGTCCTTTAGGAAGGTAGTTTGAGAACATTATGCTGTTGGTATTAGTTGAAAATTGACAGTATGATTTATAAATTTCCAAGTAAGTGAAGAAATAATGTAATTGTCCGGGGACATGAACTAGAAGAAGCAAGCCTAAACTAACTCTAATCCATCATCAAGCAGATAATCGAGGACATTAACGACACTAAGCAAGAATGAGACCAACGGGCGTGTTGTTGTAGTATCGCGTCTGAACAACAGACGTGCCACAGAAGAGCGTGTTTCGCTTGTGCTTCTCGGGGTCATAGAGTTCCTTTTCATCGCTGCCCACAGCCAGCGGAACCTTCGCTACTGGTACGCTCTCGCCTGCACAAGACATTCACTTCATTGCATGGATTATAATTATTATTAGCACATTTTCTCATTTATGGAAAAAAGGCGCTCTTGTGCTCGCCATGTCCGTCCGTCCGTCTGTCTGTATTTTCGTCCGTCCGTGGCCACGTTTCCGTCTACGAGAAAATGCGCTCTCTGTCACTCACTGCAGTGAGTACTGAGTTATATTTTTATTCTACGAAGCGATTGTCGCGGCGTCTGGTTCAACCGAACTTTGAGGGCACGTTACATATGAGTTCGATAGTGAGCGAAATTTTATGACTCGAGAACGGATAACAACAGATAAAAAAAGGAAAAGCAAGAAGGTTAACAAGTCCAAGGATTTGTCCATCGTGTATAAGTTTAATGGAATTCCGAGCCATTTCCTTACGGTAAAAACTGTATACCCCTAACACAATTTTCTCCGGAAAATAATGCAAGATCTTTTCAATTCTGCAATTATAAATATGTCGTGTAACACTTTAAAACATTTACAATTTAACGTACCTACAAAACTCAAATTTTTTTCAAAAAACGACACAGACAAATAGAAAAGAACAGTAAAGCACTTTGATCCTGAAGCACACCATGTCAAAAACAATTTGCCAATTCACACTTTAATAGTGGCGAGTCTAAATTGCAGCAGATTTTTGACTCCCCTAGCTGCCTCAGCTAGGAGAGTCAAGTTCATTATGGTGTATGCCAACGTTATGAAGTAACTACGTTGTAGGCGTGCCAATGACACAGATACGTGTTACACGTAAAATGAGTGGGTTATTATTGGAGAACATAAGAAAATCAGATTATATTCATTTATCTGTCCAAAACTTTGAAAATAGTAACTAAATTTTTGCAATACCCGTCAAGATGCTCTCATTGACGATGGCAGTGCCAGTGAGCAGGACGCAGTCGCAGGGCAATTTAAACATAAACACACCTGGCTCAGTCTTGCCCGAGTCATCTTGAAGTAGAACATCGATGGTGGCGTCCTGGTTTGTCTTCACCATGGCATGCAGCCGCTCACTTTGCTGCAAGGAAGAAATAAATTAAAAATAGAAGGAATAATGTGGTTAAGTTAAATGTAGTCATGAATACTCTATTAATAATCAAAACAGACAGTGAATGGAAAAACAAATCTAAAAAAATTCAAATCGTAAGAATAATCACAAATACTCAAAAATCGCAACCAGTGTGAATCTACATAATTTAATGCTAGCAAGAGAACCTAATGTGAATATTTAATTTGAATGTGAACATTTAATGTAAGTTTGCATACAATACTAATTCTTAATCATGGCGATTTTGTTTACAACAGGTATAAGTCATTGGAATCTTAATTTGAAGAATGTGAAATAATTGTAATTTCAGAACTTATTAGCAACCAATTAAAAAGACTAAAATCATGCTCAATAAAAATTTTCCTTCAATCAATTTCCAAATTTCCTGAGAACAACTAATATTTGAGAACAACTCTTCAAATATTTTTGTTGCATTATTTGCCTACCTAACTATGAATTTATTGAATTGAATAGATAACATAGTGCATTGAAGCAAGACAGACCTGCCTGGTCTCTCTAAGTGAGACGCCCACGGAAATACACGAGATGAAGAATATACAGCCAGCATACAGGTAATATTCATCCCAACTCCACAGAGCAATGGATGCCACCTGTTGAATAAAGAAAATACCATAATAAAGGTTGCATTCTTATAAAAACTACTTTACATTTTCTAAAATCAATATGCACAATAGATACCTACAGAATACACTGCCATCTGATATCAATAAGATTTGCAATGTGGTTCTCTGTAGAAAAGTTTTACCCTCTTCTCCCCAATGAAGATAATCTTATAAACTTAAAATAACGTTCAACGCAGCTGTGATCATCTTCAAATGGTGAATATAGAGTAAGCTAAGGGTATACCGGTACTTGAGAAATGACAGTAATAAATGAAATGCAAGCTACAAAAAAAAAATAATAACCACTAAAAATGTTACTCCTAACAAACAGGCATGCACACAATTCACAAATACAAAAAGGATCAATCCTATTTCGTGATATTTATGGAGACACTAAAAATAAAAATATACTCTTCACAAGTGCTATCAAGTTTCCTCAACAGTCTCAAGAGAGTGAGAAGATTGTTCAAAAGATTCTTCTGATTGTCAGACAATAAAACTACAATATCAGCAATATTTTGAATGGATTAAATGTTCAATTGAAGGGCTACATTGAGAACAGATGTTTAATCACAAACAATTACAAATAATGCATTTCTAATTGCAGGGAATACGAGATAATTCCATTGTGAACAAATATGATACCTAGTCTAATAAGAATGCATCCCAATTACTGAGTATTAAGCAATGCACAAGCCGAATTGTATAATAATATTAATATGCACCTGGAATATGTAGAATGGATTGAGAACTTCAGTGAATAGAAGCAATAGATAAGACCGCACTTCAACTTTGATTTCATTTGGCCCATAAAGTTGATATCTGAAAAAAATTAAAAGGATCTGAAGTTCAGTTATCAAAATTGTTGTAAAACTGATCATTCTAATGGTTGTTCACAATTTATAGACTATTTACAATTTCTTAACCATGAAAGAAATTCAGGACTTGTGAATCTGGTAATTCATCAATAAAACTATATAACAATTCCATGCATACTATTAAGCAACACAGTTCATAACATGTCAAACCACTCTTATAAAGGTGAAATTTTTTATGTAGCAAAATAAATTCAAAAGCATAGTTCAGTTGATTACCTGGCAAGTCTAACATCTTTGGCATCTCCATGATATTCACTGGCAAGTTGAGCCACAGTTGTGTTCCTGTCAAGGGCACTCAATTCAACAAACTGGCCTTCTCCAGGACACCAGACATATTTGACATTTTGGTGGCTGAAGTGATGATAAAAGAAACCAGTTTCCTGTGATCTCCTGGAAATATGAACATTAGGCATTGTTTGAATGAATTTCTGTAAGACATGAGACAGCAACAATTGTCAGTTGGGGCCAAAGCTGTCCGATATAAGGGATATTGTGGCATATTATAGATGTGACAAACAACCATCTTCAGAAAACCATGCACTAGAACAAGAAATATATGACTAATGAGCATTATAGATTTTTATCTAGAATATCATGGTAAATTTCTTAGACTATCAAATAATCCTGAACAAATAACCAAATAAAACAATGATTTAACAAGCAGGCTTGATGAATGATCAAAATCATTACATCAATGATGAATAAAACTACTAAACATGATACCGTAAATGATCCTAAGCAACACTTGTACAGATCAAAGAGAAAGAGTATATAGGTACCTTTCATTTTGGAGCAGTTGACACTCATCATCTACATTGCTGTCTTCTGAGTGATAAATGCTATCATTGTCGCTTGGAGAGATTGAGTTCAGAACTGCAGCTCCTGCCCCAACTCTGTATTTTCTAGGAAAGTGATTGGACACTTTCTCTCTTTTTATTTTGCAAACACTCACAGGGTCATCACCACACTAGAAAGGAAACAGACATTCAAAATAGATTAGTGAAAATTGTGTACAATAAGTTTACTGTCATACTCATTGAAATGAATAGACCAAAACAATTATATTATTATTATTGTTTCTTTGACATGTGCAAGACAAAACAATATTTTCTAATGTAAATTTAATTACCTATAAAACTAAGTATACAACTAAGTATACAACTCACATCAAGTAAAAGATGAGTTGCTTTGCTCAGTTCAACTTTGTTGCAGCAAAACCGCACCTCCCAGTCTGGTCTCCAATAAGTTAAGAGATACAAAATTCCAGCTGACAACATGCCAAAGACATGATAAATAACAACTCTCCAGGTTGCTTGGCCATACGATGTGGCTGTGATATCATCATGCACTGAAGATGACAAAATTTGGCTTTTTGAGCATGGCGAATAAAATGGACATGTTGAGCGGGAAATAATTGGAGATTCATCATCCGTATCTGCCAGAATGATGCCTGGTCCAGGTGCTGATTCTGACTCAAGACAATTTTCATCCATACTGCATTCTCATGAACAAAACATCTGAAAAAAAGGAAATATATATAGGTACATATGTTTAACCAGGCATACTAACCAATTTAATGACAACAGTTTTAGATATATAACATTATCCAATAAATTAGCTGAATAACTGAATAATTTCTAGTCAACCAAAATATTCTGATGCCAACTTTTTAGATAGAGCAGCTGATCAAGTAGCCTATTCAAGGTTTTTTATCAGGATCTTAAACCGTACACTTTGGATATCATATTTTCAAGTAAGAAATAAAGTCTGGTAACTCAGGTTTAGTGGTAGAGATTAGCTACCTATGATCTATCTTGCATAGCTTAAGTAGTAAAAATATTGGAATTTCCTATTTTATTACTTAAACCTCTTAGATTTAAAGCAAGCAATACCATATATTTTCAATAATTTTGGAATATTGAACCCCGAAATTATTGAAAATATATGGTATTGCTTTAAATCTAAGAGGTAAAAGTGAAAAATATTTTAGGGATGTTATTTAGGCATATAGAGATTAATAACTTTGGTTATCTGCACTACTGAGTGGAATAGTACCTGTTATAAGGCCTAGCCAGTCAAGTTAGAGCACTTTGTCTCTGGTGTCCCTGCAAGGCTGACTGAGCTATTATAGGCTGCAGTACGCTATTCTCGGGTACAAGTGAATTTGGATTAGTGCTCTTCTATAAGTGTTTATGAATTATTGTATTTTGGATTATTGAATTATCTTTCTGCATTGTACATTTTGACATGTATTTATTTATGTCATTTATTTGTCTCGGCAGGACAGAGCAAAGTCCCTCTCCTCTCAGTAGTCTCTCTGTAGTTTAATTGTCTAATGATGATCACAATTCTAAACTGTTGGATTTCTTGAATATATATATATAAAAAACTTTTTATCTATCAACTGAACCAACATCATCACATAGAGGAACCTGTTTTTGAGGTAGGAGCTCATTTTCAAGAAAAAGTTTTTTGCGGACCACCTTAATGAACCAGGGTGCAGAGGGGGCAAGAAGCATTGCCAAAATATGGATTTTTAGCCCAAAGCATTGCCAGCCATTTTTAAGATCTGTTGCCTGGTAATTTTTAATAAGAAAATGCTGCTAACAACTTTGATAGTATATCCCATACTCTCCATGCACTGCATCATTGCAACTAATTTCCAGACAAGCTTCACTGCATCCTGATCTATCTGACGTACCGGAAATCCAGACTGGAATAATGGGCAGGAGTCACCCGTACAAGAGCAAAAAACACCCGTCAACGAGGGACAATTTTACCCGTGGCCATGGATAATTTCACCCGTAGCCAATGGCCATGGTTTTCTTCACCCGTGGCCATGGATAAATTTAACCGCGCCCGTAGAGCTACAATTTCAACAGTAATGGCCAAAAGCCCTTAGACATACAAAGACATAGTTCAAAGATGCAAGGAATATAGAGTGAGCATGTAAAAACAATTTCCGACGTTACCGAGCTTAACTGATCGAACTCATAGAGACGTTGTCTTTCGATGATAATTTACACCTGCACGATCAACGTTACAATCTTCACGACACATTTCACCGCGATTAATGGTCTTAATATAGGCAAGCCTATAGTACGGAAACAGTGTCAAGTTCGCACATGGCGAGTGGGTTCAAATATTTTTAAAATGAGAAACATCCTCAAAATAAAAATGTAAAATAGCATAGAACAATGAAGCGTGATGAAATCGTTCACTCGGTCCAGAGCTTGAAGCTTTCAGCGTATTGAAAGCTTCAAATTTTTGTTACCATTGGAACGGAGAATAGAAACCCATTTTACACCCTCTCGTCATTTTTCATGAGAATGAAGTAACCTGCATGTGCCTCCGGGGCTTTGATCCCATTTTCTTTTCGAGGGACATTGAATATTTGTAAAATGAGTGTGAAAAAATTAATATAAAACTGTAAAATGCACACTTAATTAATTTAATATCTTACGCCTCAATCTATTTTGCATTGAAACGCATTGGGTATATCTTCCTTCGCACCAGCCCTCTAACTATGAATAAATAAAAACAGCACCTGGAACACGGTCTCCTGGTAGACAGGAGGAGGCTTCTTGACAGCAGGTTTAGTTTTAGGAGACTTGGGCACGTGTAGGGGCGCGGCAGAGACCGTGAGGGCAGGGGCGGTCATGACGCGCTCAGCTACGGCGGTCTCGAGGCCTGCCTCCGTCACCTCGACGAGCACCTCGAGCGCGGGGCCGTGTTTCGTGCCACAGAAGTCATCGCCGTCAGGTAAGCTCATGCACTTCAACAAGATTATTCGTTCCGTTATACTTCTCGCATTATTTAAATAAAGCTTCAAAGTATTTTAGATATAATTTGAAGTGAAAAAATTACAAAACGTTTAAGTGGAAGCTGAGATATTTCAGAGAGAACCTTTCAGTATTTCAACTGAAACGTACTTCTTCGCAAAAAAAAAAAAAAAAAAATCGCAGCAGAGAGAAGCAACGCGTAGAAATTGAATTAAAACGTGCAACAATGAATTAAGAAATAACATTCAAATTGGAGTGTGAAAAATATTAATATTGATAGCATGATGCTTACATAAAAAAATACATCCAATCGTAAGAAGTTAATTGTGAAGTGGTAACACACGTCACATTCGTAGCTTGAATAAGAACACATAGGCAACAAATTAAGCATTTTATAAGAAAAATCGAACAACACTTCATAATGGCAAAAATTGTAACTCTGGATGCGAAATAAGTATAAGCCTTTAGTAATTTCAAAATATTTAATCATACTAAAAATTCGCAAAAGGAGACCATAAATGAAGACTAAGAAAGTTTTACGAACTCCAAATTTGAAAGAGCAATTTATAAGGAAGCGGCACAATCACGCACATACAGGAGGAACTAAAAGTAAAGCAATGCACAATTTTAAACGTTTTCGTACAAATCATTTCAGAATCAAATGGACCAATACAGCGAACAAAATGAGTTCTGAGTCTCGAGGACAGACGAAGTACGAGTCTGACTTTACTAAAATAACCACATATTATTTCTTTACAAAACGAGCCAGTAGCTAAGCCAACCTACCATCAGACCTACTATTAAACAAAGAATCGAGAAACACAGTTTCCAAAGACAGGTCAACACGAATAACTACCAACACAAATTTAAATATTCGGTTAGACATATAACATCACTTGACGCGAAAATATTGTTATATATATCTGTCTCTTATACACATCTTAATTATTTCTGATAATTAGATTATTTTCATTGTTCAGGAGGAAGTCCATCTCTGCGGATTCCCCTGGGTAGCCCCGTGCCGTGCCCCACGGTGGGGGTGATCACGCCCCGCCAGTCCCCCACCCGCTCCTCAGACCCTCCACCTCTCCATCGTGGGCCTCTGAACTACCCACGTTCCCCCAGACGCAGGCACGACATGTCCTCCGACTCTGATGAAGACACTGTAAGCCTCAGCAACCTGAGTAACGAAACAGTGCCTCTACAATTAAAAAATAAGCTGAACAACTTGTCACGTTCAGATGATGAACCCAAAGTCCGGGGTCGAAGTTACAGGAAAAATGGTGTAAAAGCTTATGGGAGTCGTGCAGAGAAAAGCTCTGATGCTAGTAAGGGATCTCAAGCGTCNACTCAACTAATCAGCGTGGAAATACTTCATTAAAAATTTCAATTTATATTTAAAAATAAAAAATTATTAAAATTATAGTCATATCTTGAGACTTAAATTATTTAAATATTTTGAACCAGCTGTAACTACTGGATATGATTCATAATTACTGTTTATATAGTCAGAAGTTCACTGAAAAAACTTCCAAGAAGTTACAGAAAACTTCCATGGTCTCATTGAGATAATTGACTCACTGAGATGCAGCAGAGTAGCCCATGAACAGCGCCATGGACGTTACGATGCCCAGGTCGATGTACAAAAATTGAGGGTCGCTCAAGTTTGTGTGGAACTGAGGGAAAAATTTTATTCGCCATAGAAATTTTATTTAGTGGATCGCTAGAAAAAAGTTACACGCTAGCCAAGACAAAAACTTACCCAGCTCGTCAAAATAATTGACTCTCACTGTGTGAAAACTCATAGTAAGACAACAGACAAGGAATTCAGAAATGTAAATTGTTCAAATAAATTCAACACTTGAATGGTGAAATTGTCAAATTATAGCTGAAACCCAATATTGGACTCGTACAGATGAAATAAACTACTTATTAACAATTTTACATAAATTAAAACTGGAAACATAATTCCCCACAAGACAGAGGAAACGCTGCGGAACAACAACAACGTGAAAATTCCTTAGAAAGTAGGTACAAACATGATAACCAAGACTCAAGTGGAGAAACACGAGCACAGTCACGAACTGTACGATGCTGTACAGCATCACTAAACTGTGATGACCGCCACTTTCCGGGTACAGCAGGATCACAGTAACGAACTGTATGATGTTGTAGAGCATCACTAAACTGTGATGACCGTTGTTGTTGTTATTGTTGTTGTAATTGCCCATCCTGGTAGTGGCAACTAGGTAAGGGAGGGGAGGGGGGTGATAGGTCAGTTTTTCCGGGCACTAATGCCACACGTAGTTCCACGACCATCACTGACTCGCTGACCCACCAGAACCATTTTTGCATTACACAATACCCTGGACAACCCAGGTACTCATTTATCAACCAGAGTTGGATGAATGGCTGAGTTGACCATGAGCTGAGCTTCCCGGAAGAACTTGTTCTCAGTAGGACTCGAACCCGGGAGCTGGGTGCGAGAGACAGAGTCACCACTGCACCACCACAGCTCTAAGATGACCGTCACTTACCGTGTCCAGCATAAGTATAGTCACAAACTGTGTGATGCTGTACAGCGTCATTTAAATTAAGTGAGATGACCATCACTCACTACCTGCTGTACAGCATCACTACCATCACTCACCGTGTACAACATAAGCACAGTCACGAACTGTATGATGCTGTAGAGCGCCATGAACTTGAACACGCCGAAGCTGGTGACGAGGGCTGC